ACTTTTTATCTCCAATATCTGTGATGAAGGGAAAGAATTTCGGAGGCAAAATCTTTCAACAGACGGTCAAGTAAAAACAGACAAAAATGTGAAGGCATGTTTGTTTTAGTGGTGTCAAAGAAGAGAATAAATGCATAAACTGCTTGACTGACAGCAATAAAGTACATTTTATTTTAAATTGAAACCATTCATAGACCAAAGATGGTTACCATTATTCTTTCCTTTTGTGGTTGTACTGACTTTAAAAGTCAGCCCATGGTATTAGGCTGGCGGCTTCCTTTTGGGAAGTTCTTTAAAGAGCACATCACAATAAATCCAACCTGATCGTGACGGTCCACACCCTCATTACAGGCACAATCTTTGCGAACTTTGTCAAACATGCTCTTTGCCCTGTGTTGATGCAAAGATAAAACCAATGTGTCTATTCATTCATTTGCATTGCTCAACTGGTGCATATGGACAATTATTTCACAGTTCCTACTGTCAAGGTTGTTCTTACCATGCTGGCATGGAGCCAGACGGGGCTGCTGGGCCAGGTTCTTTTTCCCAAGTTCCACCCAGACGCTGCGTGCGCCGTCATCCTGCTGAAATGTAAACCCCAGATTCAGCTGTGTTTGTTATGGTTGCGCCGGCCCTCAGCGAACACACAACGCTGTCACAACGTAGCTATAACAGCGGGGCAATATTTCAACAACAATCTATTTGGTCAGCTGCAATTACATCACTAGGTGGTCAAACACATTCGTTTGCTGGAATGATAATTAGGATTATTTCACGGGCACTCTTAGCAAGGGTCCTAGACGCTGCTCTTGCTTCCCAACACACCTTGAAATGTAATACAGAAGTTTAAGTCAAGTGCTTTAAAGTATGTTTTCACAGAGTCTGAACTTGACCCCACTGGACTGTGTTCACAGGAGCACCATCATTACTGTTTTTGCTGGGGATGCTCTATTTAACAGCAGGGCCTGCTATACACCGTCTCCTCTTTTAATCATCCAGCTTCAGTATAAACAATAGTTTAGGCTGAACACTAGCGCTGCCCTTGAGATCACTGGCCTGCTGCACTAATGGCTATTTACTTTCAAGGGACAATAAGTAACCAAGAAAGTCTATTTTTATCCTGAAATGACCCTAAAGTCAACCCTGCTGTGAAGGGGGGACACATCCTTAACTTTAATCAAGCCGCCGGCCCTGCAGGCTGAACGCTGGTGCAACAACCTTTGCGTGATACTCTTTAAAACAATTATTGTTCTCTTGTTAGCTCATGTGACCCTAAGTCACTGTAAAAAAGGAGATTCCAAGAAGATTTAATGTTAAAATATCTGTCTGCCTGAAACTAGCTGGGGGTCTGTGCAGTGTGGCATGGGGTGTGTAATTTATTGTAGGAGCTAAGTGTTTCCATTTGCAGTAAGAGCCACTGAAAACAGACTTGCTGAAGGTTTCTGGGGGGCCTGCTTGTAAAAGTACTGATGCAGTGTGAGCTGGCTCGTAGCCTGACAACCTGTTTGGGGAGCTGTATGGATGGGGTTTTAATGAATACATAATCCAGTCATTACAAAAAAGAGTCTTCACACTTGCAGATCTTGCAACTCTGGACCTTTGTGTTTTCTTATTAACTCTTATTACTCCTGAATCCTATGGAAAGGTAGAAATAAAGGAACAAATGGGGATTTTGTGTGTTCATGTGTACATATACATAGAGACATTTACATTTACATTTGTACTTCATACCCAATAGACGCCACATTACCAAATCAGACCCCAAACCATGATACTGTCCAACGTGCTCAGGTCATAATGCACTGAATTCTTGTAATGCGCTTAAAATCACCAGCAACAACTCACTGCTGCCCTCTACTGAATCTACAAGCTCACAATAACAAAACGTTTCTAAATATTATTTTGTATTAAATATATTTCATCCCCTCATGGCAAGTTTAACAAGTTTATCCTGTGTTTTGGTAATGTTAACATTTGTTTTTCTGTGGAACTGCTCCTCACACTTGCTCACCTGACCTAAAGAAATAACACTTAACACAAGTAAGTAATACAGTGGGTTTGTTTGCTGAAAAGCCAAGCACTTCAGTAAGGTTCAGGTATGTTGTAACGTGGGAAATCACCTGAAGTTGATTTGAGACCGATACTACTATACAAACTACAGTCAAGTTTGGTTTGGCTGACTAGCTGTTCAAATCTGTCGCAAATAAATGAGAACAAATTGTGAAACAACGGCCAGAAAACCAAAGTGCGCTTCAAAGACCAAGGAAAACATAACAATAAGTGCAAGAGCACATGATATCATCATGCAGCTCAGCATCTGGGAAAGTACCATATGAACTGCCATACGGAGCACATGTATGGTTTGTCTAAACCAAAGAAAGTTCCGAATCCAAACAATGTATGTGCAAGGAATGTATATTCACAAAAAAAAGTTCCCATGTTGATCCACAGGCTGATGTCACATTTTTGTTGCAAACTACATATATTCATCCCCTGGTTGGAATCAAGCACCTTACTTCCAGCAAGTATTTTTCCCAGTTTTAACATTAACCAACAGGCCTTATTTCCTGAAACCAGAAACTCCCTCAGCAAAAGGAAACCCAGCAACACCTGCAGTCGTGGGAGGCCGGCCAGGACGGGAGTCAAATAGAACACTAGAAGTGAAATTCCTCTAATATTTGGTTAATATATTCTAGGTCTGCTCAACATCAACGATTACTCATAAACATGTACGTGTAATTCATTGTGAATATGATGCATTGCCAATTACACATCTTAATGAGAGCATAACACTTTAAATAATTTATTTAGTTTTAACAACTTTTAAGTGTAACGTGTTTCAATTTTATAAATATGTCACGACGAGACATTGAAAAACATAGCCATTTGGATGACGATTCAGCCCATTTGTATTGCAATCACATGTCTCCATATTTTGTAGCTCAGTGTAACCCACATGTGCCCTCGAAGCCAACAAACTCGGGCTGCTTTTTCCCAGAAGAGAGTTGATTGATTGGCCATCGATAGAGACTTGCTCGTTGAATGAGAACGCTCGCCACAGAACTATCGAGTAAACAGACTTGGAAGTCAAGGCCAGCAAAATCCCTTGTGTCTCCATACCATCCGTTAGGAAGGCAAAGCCGGATCTCATGTATCTGTGGTCAGACAAGACCGCCACCACTTCCTCGTATTGCAAGGCTGCTTCAAAACCACGCCAGTGTGTGCTCTATTTCCCTAACCTTTTTTAAAGTGTTGGAATTCACATAACCATGTGGTGTGCTTCTGGAGTTTGGGACTTCCAGAATCTCACTGTTTATCACTCAAAAAGACAAAAATAAACAATCCATGCTGAAAACATTTTCAACCGTGCTGGAAGAGATTTTCATAATGTCATAACTAGGCATCCCTTTATTGTTTTCATGTGTTGTGCTTTCAGGCTCACATCTTTCATGGTGGGCTGTGTTTAATAGAAGTGATAAGTTCATGCTAACTGGGACCAGACTGTTGAGTGAGGCTGTCGGTCTTCTTTCAAACTGCTTTGTGTAAGGCGTCTTCTTGATTCATAATTGAGAGCTCAGCCACTATCCAAAACAAATCTGGTCCACTGTTGACATAAAGTCATTCCCCCCTTGTTAAAGGCAGTCCAACAGGGGTGACCGTCTGATGCCAACAGTCTTGGTGCCAACAGGATGTTATAATAGTAGTAAAAAGTTAGCCACTTCCACACAACAGCATGCACAGCGGCTGAAACATTCATTAACATCCGCTTCTAGTTTTGCGAGTGTTTTGATACTCTCTGTTGCAATTTGTCACATGGTAGCCAACTTTGAGGGAGGTTGCCTGTTGACTTTTTATTATGGATTGCATTCAAGAGGTTTATTTCAATTATGTTTGTTGTACCAAAAAAAACTGAACCCAAATCTCCATCAAATACAAAGATTATGCTGTTAAATTATGCCCTTTTTCTGGCTTTAATAGTCATTTTGTGCCATGCTCGAGTGTTCTGTTGAATTCACTCAATTGTTATTGCAAACTTACTTTTAAATATAATTCCATGACACTCAAACTGGTTTAAAAGGGGATACAACTTACATAAACATTTGAAGTGGTACCAAGATGTGGCTTACAATGTATTCAGTGCCTTGATGTTCACATTTTAATGTTAAAATAGTTTGAGTTTGGATTGTTTCAAAGTTTTTATTTCCGAGGCCACTGTGATCTTTGGAACCTTGAATAAAGCAGAAATGTTTTTAAAACGTTCTGGACATAAATACAATCCGGTATAAGCTCATGGCTTGATGTTTGATCTGATAAGCATTGTCAGCTGTGAGACCAACACAGCCTTTACAAATCATGTCCAATCACTTGAGTTTACCACAGGTGAAGCTAATCGAGGTTTGGAGACATCTCAGAGATGATCAGGATAATTAAAAGGTACCTGAGCCATATTTCAAGTTACATAGCATAGGGTCTCAATACTTTTGTCAAGGAGAATTTCATGTTTTGGTTATTTCATTTTTTTTAAATAACATTTGCAATAAATGATTAACTCCTGATTCATTACGGGGTATTGAGTGCATTTCAACTTAAGGCTGCAACATTGGAAAACATTAAACATGGAAGGGGTGTGAATACTTTGAATGAACAGTTTACAGTGATTATGATTGTATGGTTGATGAAAGTATTCTTTCCAACACAGCTGGCAGCAGTTATTAAAGTGTGGGTTACACAGCATCATTTAAAATGATATTCTTGTCGAACAAAGATTGTAATGAATTGTTGGATTTTGTTCATAATTATGGAAAGTTCATAGGGTTTTATAGGCGTAAACCAATTGTGTTTTTTACCCTGTACCGTTCAGTCTTAACGTTTCCCAGTTCAGAAACAATCCAGTGCTATTTAACAAGACATTATTATATCAAAGAGCAGTTGAGCAACTCTTCTAACTAAACAAACTTCAAACTTTAATGCATTGTTCAAATAAACAAACAAAAAAACAGTTTTACTTTTGATAGTTGGAGACTTACTTTTATTTCAGATCATGCTATGACAGGCCTACAATTGTGATACTTTTCAGATGAATTAAATAATTAAATAATTCCAATATCTAAAATGCAAGTGTTGCTTCATTTATTCCATTTGTTTGCTTTAAACAGATGCAGGTGTACTTTTCCCTTTATATTTATAGCTGATCGTTTATTTCTATCCAATGTCAGGATAAGTTTAGTATCATCAGCAAAAGAAGCTTATTTACAGCTCCGAAATGATTATTTTAAAAATAATTTAAAGTATAACTTTCAGCTAATTACAAGTTGACAGTAATAATAGAACACAATAAAATCACAATACATGCATCTGTCATTTACAGATTATACAGAATTAAATTGTCAATTGTTCACAAGATATACAGTAGATTGTGAGCTAAATATGGAGTATTTAGTTTACGTTATTTAAAAACAAATCATGGACGTTTTTTCCGTTCTGGTTTCAAGATTCCCAGAACAAGTTGCACGTTTACAGTCTTCGGCTATATCTTGGGACCCTTTCTCTCGATGCAATACAACGCAGCAATATTAAGACATGCAACATAAAGCAGCACAGAGACAATGTCTGGAGAAGACAAGTGACACAGATACAGCAGGACAATAATGTGAAAGCAAAGGTTATAAAAAGAAAGAATGGCACTCCATCATCAGTAACAAGGATATTACTGTGATGCAACAGGAAAGCTTTAACCGTCATTCTATTGCTTACACGTTATTTAGTGGGGAATATGTCCGCCCAACTTAAATAAAACAAATGTGTTTGTTCAAAGATAAAAATAAGGCTTGTTATATTTCGCTTTCCGAAGGCATTAGATGCAAGCTATTTACCAATATACAACTCAGGTTCCAAAACCAATAGGTTAAATAGGCAGAGCCAAATCATCAGCATCACCTAACATAGTGCTGGATGGGAAATTGGGTGCCGCTTTTACTTTAGGCAATTGTTTTACAAATGGCGACTCCACAAAGTAATGACAAATGAAATGCTTAGTAAGCTGAAAAACTCATAATCTAAAAGGCAAATATCAGGGATTTTGGTAAATGTGTTTAGTGTCAAGTTCCTGTACGTTCCGTAAACTCTGTACGCTTAAATCCGTGTGATTATGTAATAATATGCAACAAAAATGCTGTCAAGTATCTTGAGTATGCATGTCCCAACTGCTGTATGCTGCTGGTCCAACGTTGTACCAACCTCATGAAGACGATTAGGAAGCTTGCTGTGCATCCCTAAGGGGGGCATGGGGACGCTGTCACAGCTACAGCAGTTTTTTCATGCGGCAGGTGTGCTTCTCTACGTTCATGGTGGCTCGGTCAGTGGAGCTGGTCAGGTCGTTCAGAACATCATCCTGCCGCTCCAGCTCTGTCTCTGCCTCCAGGGCAAGGTTCTTCAGCTGCATCAGCATCTACACACACACACAGTCATGTTTTCATCACTTTAGAGGACTTTGTCTTACAATCCTTTCCAGGAGACTTACCCTATCCCTAACATGCTGACTAGTCTAATCATAACCTGTACCCCCTAAATTCAACTTAAACTTTAACCAATTCCCTATAGTCCAAGGATTTATGTTATGAGGACTTTTTTTGCATGGGCGAGTCCCCACATTGTGAGTGTAAAATGAATGGTGTCCCACAACATGAGTAACACAAACACACACACACACAGAACATTGGGGAGGGTGAAATAGATTGTGTATAGATTCAGATTGTGTTAGTGAGTTAGAGAATGAGTGTGTTTGTGAAACAGAGATGGGGTAGATAAGAGGGAATTTTTCATTTAATTCAGAGTTTATTTCGGATCACTTTCGCTACAAAGACAACAGTCTGCTGTTAAATGTCTGCAGGTGAGAAGTCAACCCCAAACCGATACTCATGTTGCAGATATAATATGTTATATTATGCAGAATGAAAAGCTTACGAACATATTCAAATATCTTGGTGGCTAATCTCCTGGGATCATTTATAAACAATACTGTTTGTTTTTCTGCACTCTGTGATTTTAAGGAATATGCGACTTCATCTCCATGGCCCAAAAACTGTGTATGTTATAGTTGATGGAATAACTTAAATACAAGGTGATGTGCCAAGCACAACCTTATAAACACTACTCCCAACCCCACCACCATAGTTTCTAAACTAATATTATGTTATACACATGCTCTCACACACCCACCGACATTAAGTCAGTTTTCACTGGCCGGTACACGCGGTCATTGCAACTGAGCACAGTAACAAGTCCAGACAGCTGTTTGAAAAACAGATAGTATGTCAATACACAAAGAGGAGCAAATGTATTCGCTCACCCAGGTCTGTGACTTTACTATTTCAACTGGGGGAACATGACTAAATCACGACTTGCATTTAACATTCACAGGACTTTTTGTGTCATACATAAACACAGAAAATGAATATTTTTAGCTACTGCTTATACAATGGTGAGAGGATTTAAGTCATGTAGAAAGCCCTAAAATTAAACATTTAGGCTAGAACTGAAAAAGCACATGAGCTTTAATGCTAGTCTTGTGGATGAGCGGGGTAATTTAAGGACTTTGAATTGATAGAAAATACAGTACACGAAATCTACGAATGAGTTTGTGCTGATATTAAAGAAGGAATTTCCAACCTCAAACAATAATACTGGTACAAAATGATCGGACAAAGGGGAATATTTGCTAAAGCACTTAGTGCAGGAAATTCAACTCAGTGACCCTCCGAACAAGTTGCACCACTGTAGATTTTAATCTCAACATGAATTACAATAAGAGTAGGGTGTGTACAGAAGCATAGCATTAACTTCAAATTTGCAGCCTTTGAAGTCTGAACCATTATCAGCTCTAGACAATGTGCCATTTATGAACACAATAAGCCAACCTGTATAAATGGCCTATTGCTGTCACTGCTATTATACATTTGTTTGAACAATGATTATATAGACAAAGACAACAGTGAAACAGTGTACATTGTTATTGTGAACACAAATTGATTAAATAACAGGTATAAAGTTGTCGTGGTACTGATTCCCCAGATATTATCCGATCTGAAAGAACCCTGAGAACTAGTTCCTAACCAAATCTTGGAGACCCGTACTTACAAGTATCTTCAAAATGATAACTTTCCTCCTTTAAAAGGTTCTATGGTATGGCCTTCAGAGCATTAATATAGCATAAACATCTATTTGCTATGTAAGATATAGGGGAGTAACCTTGTCCTAAACACAGAATGAAGTCACACTCTTTCTTCTTTCTTTTGCACAATTAGAACCAAAATCTGCAATGCTGCAGGTAGCCTAGTAGAAATGTGTTTTTTGTTATTCACTTTAGCTAGGTTTCAGAGTTGCTCAAAATCCATGTCAATGAGAAAAGTTTAGAGAGCAAAGAAGTCTCAAAAGAACCAAGAGTTTCTGGCAACAAATATCAGCAGAAATTAGATGTGAATTACAACAAGGAAGGATTCAAATGTCCTGGGTGTGTGATTCCCTACATCTCTGAAGCCCTATGGAGAGGGTGTTGTCCCCCCTTAGGAGCCAGTTGTTGCTTTCCTTGAAACTTTTGAGAGGCTTGATTTGAGATATTCAATAATTTAACATGTTTTAATCAGTGTGGGCAATTTGATACAATTTAAGATGGGAAAAAATGACTAATTCGAGGTATATTTAGCAAACATGTATATTTGATGCATTTAAAATAACATACAAATCAGCAAATATACAATTAGAGCCTCAGTGTCATGTCACAAAGTCCAAATTAATTCAAACCTCTCAATGCTGCTTGCAGTTTTTATCTAAGCATAATTTAACAAAAGTAGATTACTAAAATGTTTTACAGTATATATCTATTTAGGATATGGAATAGTGTGTCACACACAAAACAAATATCTGAATCATAGCTCTGAATATGCGTCACTGTTTACATTTTGCCACCACAGACCATGTCGCTAACATTTCTCAGCGTTGAGAGGTTCTGAATGGAAAGACGTTGTAAAGTCTGACCAAAAACTGAACAGGTTTCTTTCCAACTCTTAAAACTAGGATGGACTTTGGTTTGTGGTCTCACTAAATAACATTTTAATCATACAGGATGAAAACTTAAAATCATTATAGTGAATTGTAGGTTGGAATCAAAATAAATGTCACTAAAACCATAGGGTTGTTTACTAAAATACATATAAATACAAACATGAAAAATGCGACCTTGGTGCATGCACGATATATTAACACTGGTCTCACCTGTTTCAGTTCCTGGGCCTCAGACTGACTGACAGATGGCTGGAGGATGTGCACCTGCAGCTGGGACAGCGCTCCTGCTGGGACCTCTAGTGGGAGCTCCGTGTCTTGGCACCTCTGTAGCAGACCTGACTCCATGGGTGGAGAATGTGAATAAGTGCAGAGTGCATATGTAGTTTATGAGAAAACCAGACAGTAAACTCAAAGTAACTGTGGCAATCAGGACAAAGTGACTCATCAAAACACATTTCTGTCAAGGAAAGACACCAATAACCGTGTCCAAAAGTCATGTGCATGAAATGTTTTTACATTTGGCTAGAAATGGAAACATAGAGCTTTACTGCCACTTAGTGGTCAATTTCATGCTAGATGTGGAAACAGTGGAAAATTATTTATTTATATAAAATATGCCTTACCTTCATTCCAGGTTTGCCCCTCTGTGTCACACGGAGATGAAACTGGAGTTGCTCTGAAAGCAGTGTATTCACTAGTGAACTCCACTTTTTTTCTGTATTGAATCTCTAACACAGACATTGCCTCCGGCATCTTGGCAGACAGGAACCTGTAGCATATATCCGGCTTCCCAATGAACCGCTGTCTTACAGTGATCTCATACGGACTGTGCACTCTAACTTCGTCAATGTCATTTCTTTCAAAGCGGTGAATGAGTTGGCAGTTTGTGTCTAGCACCTCCAGTGAGGACACCAGCACCAACAAGCATCCAGGTTTTAAGTCCGAGTCCCCTCCTTTGGTCACTATAGCTGGGATGCTTGCGATTACCTTATTTCTACCAGAGCCTTTACCAGCTGCTGAACGGGCCGCAGCTCTTGCAGCGTCCTCCGCCTTAGCTTCCTGCTGAGTTTTCCAGGGGAGTTTACCAAAAGGCCACCAGGGGGGAGATTCCAGCTCTGACAAAAGTCTGCAAAAGAGTAAAAAGGGAAATGACAATTCATGGGATTATGACTTGCTTTAGTATTACATTAGGCTTGTTTTGCATTGCAACTACTTAGTGATAGCAGTCCACACTACACAAATTAAACATGAACAAGACTTCCAAATAGAAAAGTGCATAATATCATTGAGTCAAGAATTTATTGAGATAATTACTTATCAGCCACGCCCAGATCTGAGTCAATCTTCTCCAGTCCCTGCATTGCATTGTCAAACTGCTCTCCTTGGTGGCTGAGGACTTTGCCGGTGTCCTCCAATCTTTTCTGGGCCCCCGCCACCAGGCTGATCAGCTCACTGCCTTTAGAGGGTTTGCATTCGGCCCCCCGTGGCTCTGAGCCAGGGGACAGGAGGCGTTCCCTCCAAAAATGCTCTAACACGTTATAAACCACCACCCTGTTAGGCTTAAGGGAACCAAACCAGTGTTTCACATTGCCCTCTTCAAGCACTGTGAGAGTGCTGAAGATGAAACTGGATGACTCCATCTTGATATCCATGATCCTGGAAAGGCGAAAGCTGGTAAGACTCTCCTTACTCTGGTTAGAGACAAAGCGCACCATGGTCCTGGTGAGGGACAGGGTGCCAATTTCCCACCGCTTCTCAGTGTTGATGTAATAGGAGCCAGGCCAGCTGTGGATAGGAGCATCCCGGCTCATTTTGGAAGGAGTTACACTGATTCACCTAGAATGACAAATATGCATATGCACTATACTTACGCAGAGATATGGGAAAAGTACTAATATCTTATACCCAAGTAAATGATGAAGAACCAGAGTGTAGGAATACTCTGTTACAAGTAAAAGTCCAGCAATCAAAATGGTACTCAGTACAAAAGTATTGGCTTCAAAATATACTTACAGTAACAAAAGTACTCATTATGCAGATCGGCCATTTACAGAATAATAATATATATCATATGTTTTGATTATACATATTGATGCATCAAAGTGTGCAGGTAGTTTTAAATACTTTGTATTCTGCAGGGTAGCTTGTAAATTTGTGAAAAAGTCTTAATTAAGTGTTGATTATATTTCACATCATTAACCCGAATCTACAAAGTAACTAAAGATATCACATACATATAGTGGAGTAAAAGTACACGATTTACCTTTGAATTGTAGTGGAGTAGAAGCAAAAGGTAGCAGAAAAAATACAATTACCTCAAAATTGTACTTAAGAACAGTACTTAACCACTAAGTTACTTTACACCACTGCTAATGCACACATCTTTGCTGTAAATTACATTATGAAGACATTGTTTTTAGTTATGTCTTCAATTGTCTTGCTAGTAAACACACACACACGTACCTCAGGGTGTAATAATAAGGAATCCAAGAAGCAGATGAGCTGAGGCGTTTACCCTGACATCTTCATAAGAAACGGCCTTTACGATTGCGTCATTAAAACGTTATAAACCCTCTTAGCATTTATCACTTCCTCGTGGACCATTATATCCGTCTCACAAGACATTAATCGACAACATTACCTTGTTGTCCTGAGCAGTGTTACCCTACACTCCTCTCTGTAAAGCTGTTTATTACGGAAGTGACGTCACTCAGAGGCACGGCTGTATTTACTGTCCGACTTGAATATTCTGCTGTCAAAAGGCTATCGCGACAAGGTTTTGTAAAACATAATTATTTTTAACTAAGACGGCGGTTTCTGAATAAGCTAAAATAGCATACAGCTTAATCTTTAAAATAAATAGAAACAAATTCAATAAAAATAAGCGCTATATTCTGTGTGTATTTCGGGAACCTTACGTTGCTATTTTCGGGATGGGGTCATATTCAGCGACATGTTTTCAAATAATTGTAGCATTATGTTTTTTTCTAGCATGATATAGCCCAAGATTGACAGTAGAATTGAAAAAGCGTACGTTATGTAACAGTGAATGTAAAACAAATCGACCGGTTAGCTTTTCCTTACCGTCGTTTGCTGTCCAAACGCTGACCGCTTAGCTAACAGGCTAGCACAGTTCTTGTTTACCATTATGGACAGGGACGCGTACCGTAACTGCTGCAGCCTGGTAAAAATACCAAGACCGTCTTATGAACAGTTCTGGTCTTCACATTTTGTAGACTACATCGACAAGGATCTGAGCTATTCTAAGTTTTTTAAGCAGTACTTGCTTCCCAATCACCCATGCATGTTTTCAAGAAGGTTTACAGAGGACTGGAAGTGTAGAAAACAATGGGTGTCGGAGGAAGGGAAGCCGAATTTCCAGAAACTGCTGCAAGAGTTTGGTATGTATCCCTATTACTTTTGATATTAACAAACTACTATGTATCATGATGCAGCTGCTGCATTGGAAGCTGTCATGCAGTGTTATTTAATAATGTGTTTGTTGCTTGTTTCAGATGAGACTCCTGTTCCTGTTGCAAACTGCAATGCAAAGGAGTACAATGCAAACCCTAAACAAGTAATGCCTTTCAAAGAATTTATACACTACTGGAAGGAATACATCAAGAATGGCCACTCCTCACCTAAAGGATGTCTCTATCTGAAAGACTGGCACATGGCAAGGTATGAATTGATACAGATAACAAAAATATTTGTAAAGCACATTTTTCTAAATACTTTACTGTATGAAACTATTATTGTGGTTCTACAGGGACTATCCAGAGCATAATGTTTACAGCACACCAGTCTTCTTCTCTTCTGACTGGCTGAATGAATACTGGGATACACTTGAAGTGGATGACTACCGATTTGTCTACATGGGACCTAAAGGCTCTTGGTAAGAAAAATGTAATATAATGTTGGTAAAACCAAGATTATGTCACGTTGGTCTCAATATATTTAAAGGTCCCATGTCATGGCCATTTCTACTGATCATAATTCCATTGTTGAGGTATACTAGAATAGATTTATATTGTGCAATTTTCCAAACTCACATTGGTTTCTCATACAGCATCTCTGTATAGTATGTGTATTCACTCTCTGTCCTAAACGGCTTGTTGGAGCTCCTACGAGAATTCTCCAACGAGGCGTTCTAGGGCAGCATAGACAGGTCTTTTCTGTGTTAGAGTTTTACTCGCTACAGGGTGTACTTTGAGGGTTTGTGACTTTGCAGACCGTTTACATGCATAAAAACCTTCATAACACACAAGGGGACGGATAATAACCGGAAAAGCATGACATGGGACCTTTAATGTTGTTATAGTTTTGAGGCAACACATGTGGGACGTCTTATCAATCATATTGACTTTCTTGTCCCCAGGACTCCGTTCCACGCCGATGTGTTTCGCTCCTACAGCTGGTCTGCAAACATCTGTGGCAGGAAGAAATGGCTCCTGTATCCTCCCGGTCAGGAGGAGTTTTTAAGGGACACTCACGGCAACCTCCCTTACGATGTAACATCAGCTGAGCTTCGAGACAGAAACCTTTTTCCCCGCTCTGAGGAAGCTTGTCAACCTCTTGAAATTATACAGGAGGCAGGTGAAATCATTTTTGTGCCCAGTGGGTGGCACCATCAAGTTTATAATCTGGTAAGAAGTATAAAATCACCAAATGCAAAAATGACTCAATAATAAAATACATCTATTTACCAAACTTCTACTTACACAAATGCTCTCTCTTAAATGACTGTATTACAGGAGGACACCATCTCTATAAATCATAACTGGTTGAATGGCTGTAACGTAGACATCATGTGGCAGTTCCTTCAGAGTGAGCTATCGTCCGTTCAAAAAGAGATCGATGAGTGGAGAAACACGATGGACTCGTGGCATCAGCACTGCCAGGTACTTCAGAGACTTTTCAGCTCCCATGCTCTCTTGAAACATGCTGCTGCCATGAATGTTAGCAATCTTATATTTAAAGTCATTATTGTTTCTTACTTTTTAGGTCATTATGAAGGCCTGCTCTGGCATTAATTATGCAGAATTTGCCTCGTTCCTGAAAATCCTTGCTGAACACCGGATGTCTGTCCTGAATGCCTGTTCTTCTGGGAATTCCTCCGATTACCCTCGGCATCTCTCAGAGACCCTCACCACACTTGGACCTTACCATGCTGCCTTTGACCTCCAAAGAGTGGCTCACATAATTGAATGCCTTCTCTGCAATGAAGATTTTAAGCGGCTCGATCATTCAACTTTGACTTTGCAGCCAGAAACCATGTTACAGCAAATTCGGGACACCATACAATCCACAAGGGGGCAGCATCTCCTTTATCAGGAATAAGATGTGCAGTGGTGTCTCAACAATGTTATCGCCTGGAAATGGCTTGAATGAAAAGTGCCAATATGTTCAGTGGAAATAAGTTAATAAAGGTCTTTCTTCATCTTTAGTTTGAGATGAGTTTTACAAGTTGAATGTTTTCTTTTGCACTGACAGATACAAAAGATAAAATAAAAAATACACAAAGGTAATTGAGTTTGTATTGATTTTCTTTCCATATTTATTCAACAACCACCAATACCAATCGACTGTTGGTACATCCTGTTGTATAGTGCTGCAATAGATTTGATAAATAGCATAATTCTGTCGTGAATAATACTTTACATTTTTGTCACTCTAAAACTAGATTTGATATAACAAACAAAACAAAATCACTCAAAAATATGGATTGGTGCCACACAGCTGTTAAGCAATGACAGTGTAACATACTGTACTTCAGGGTTGAGTCTATGAGAAGTCTGTCAGATTCAATGTGCGTCACATTTTAGGGAACTATAAAACGTCCTTCTCTTCAGTTGTTCTTCACGTCTTTAGGCCACCAGGCTGGCACAGAGGCCTCAACTGCCACTGTGGTGTCATCAGAAGATTTGAGTGTCAACGCTTCTTTGGCATGAGCCATGCGGATTAAGCTCAGACCCAACTCATCAACCCCCGCTCGGTGCTTCCCAGCTGGCTTGCCCGACTGTGTTTGCAGCGCTGCTCCGTCCTCGAGGTCTGGGAGAGGAGCTGACAAGCGTACTGGCATCAGGCGTTTACGGATCACCCCTGTGTGATGAGTTCTGGCTGTGAGCTCCTGGCCAATGTAACAGCCCTTGCTAAAACTGATACCCTGCATGTAGATGAGATTTGATTCTAGTGGCAGTGCCACCCCAGGGGGAAGGTCCTTCACTCCCTCAGGAAGTCCTAGACAACAATGACAGCAGAGGAAGTAAACAAAGTGTCAAGAGAACATGTGCATACACACTCTTAATCCTCGCTTAACTTTTAAATATGATCTGCAAGTATTCTACCCGACCTTACCTATTGCATAGCGATGTCTTTGATAGTCCACCGTGTCACCTTTCTCACATGATGCAATGATATCCAAGGGGTTATCTTGACTGTCCAACACCAATCTCCAGCCCATTTCCTGAGTGCGAGGATCAGCCTCCCATACAAGAGCTTTGTCTGGGGAGGAGAGCTCAGGTTTACCGGCCTCTTGACCTGCTTTCTTTTGCTTTGAGAGCACCGCCCATACAGACAGCTCTGGACAGGGGTTTATATTGACCTTTCTGCGGAGCTTGTACATCTTCAGATGTCTCAAGATGGAGTCCTTAATTGTGCTGTCACACTCCAAGAAAACGCCTGGCCCTGCATCAGCTTCTTTCAGACTGAAAAGGAAATACAGCAAATTAAGTGCCACACACAATAAAAATACATCATAAAAACTACTATCGGTTAATACAAAACATACTATTGTGATACATTGATACTTAATCTGACTGGACAAATAGAGATAAGGATTTTTATTTTTCCTGGAGAGGCTTTTGAATAGCACAAAAAGATGTGTAGCATAGCTCGATTAGAGGTCCAGCTTGCTAGGCAAAGTTACTAAGAACTCAAGTATCACTGGTTACTAAATCCACTGCCAACTAAAATATGTACAGGTCCTTAAAAAGTAACAACCTCTGTGTATTGCCATCTTTCCATCAAGAAGAGACTACACTGAGTAATATAGGTTCGCTATGTCTTTTTGTAACATCACAGAAGCTTACAAAGATATTTCTTTGTTACAATGGAATATCTCAAAAGGTGATTAGCTCCTAATCATCACAGTTTGATCAGCTTCCCTGCAAACAATGGAAGAGAGACAATCCATATGTGCTAGTTAAAGGGGACCTATCATGCAAAATGCACTTTTGTACGTCTTTTATACATGAATATGTGTCCCCGGTGTTCCAGGGAACTCACCAAGTGTCAGAAAACACAACCCTCTCTATTTTCCTCCATACCCAAATCTCTAAAAAAGGGGCTGCAACGGATCTGATAAAAACTGATCCAGATTTGAACACTGTCTTGACGTCAGGACAGTGGCGCTACGGCTATTGGGCCAACTCCACCAATCAGGAGGAGACAGCCACGGCCATTGCCGTTCGAAAGCGCTGGAGACGCTGTAGTACATATGCCAGGCCTGTAGATGGTGCTGTTCTCACAGAATCAGCCCTGGCAAAAACAGAGCTAACATTTTTCAAATTGAGCGAAATGAGGCATGGCTAAAATGCATGATCTGTTTGGTATTTTGAAAAAAAAAAAAGTATAAATATGCCTTATATAGGTATGGTCCTACACTATATTATTCAAATATAGCATGATAGGTCCACTTTAAGTTTAAAATAGCTGCTATAAGAAACCAAATTCACATTTTTAAAGTGTAATGGCATTGCAACTTATAAGAACGTATCACCATCAGAGTGCTAAATATATTTTGAACTTAGTCCAAATCAGCTGCAACAATATTGTTAGCTAATGTTTAAAGACCCAAATCTTCTACATTTGAGTTGCGTTCATGCTGTCTGCCTGGAGCTAGAAGTTATGAGGTTATGTTTGCACAGTACATTTTGGTGGATATTTATTACCATTGTTTTCTTACAGCTATTTATATTTCATTTTAGGGCTTCTTCTGTTTTAAACAAATATTGTTTTTAAAGTTAAGCTGCTTAAGATGCTGAATCTGATGTGACCCCAGTGACTCCAAATTAACGCAGCAATGTAGTTAAACACTGGTAGCACACACGTCTTTTATAGGATTGTAGTCCTTTTTCTATCTTATATATATATATATGTTATTGATCATTAAGCAACCTTTTTTTTTTTAAAGTAAAAAAACATTTGTCACATGGTCAAACGACTTTTCAATAAAGAAACTGCTGAATGTCTATAACAGTATTAATGTAAAATAGAAAAAGTATTAAAGACCAATAAAAATAGAGGTCCTACTTGTAAGTGCTGCATTTATTTGGCATCACTGGGTAACATAGAAACTTTAAAATAAATCTATAATATTCAATAAAAAAAACCTGCTTTTTCTATATTAACATATAATAAAAGATGGACTAAAATCCAATAAAAAGAGGTGTGTGATACTTAAAAATAAATAAATGCTGGATTTAAAGGTGGGGTAGGTAAGTTTGAGAAACCGGCTCGAGCTACACTTTTTGTTATATTCCATGGAATGCTCTCAACATCCCGATAGCAATGAATATCTTAAGTGCTTTGACAACAAATCCATAAAAAAAATGTCATCTGTGGAAGCCGTAGTACTGTAAAAAGTACGACCAATCATTTTAGCCGGCCCGGCTAAAATAACTGGATGGCCTATCTGCCTGTCAGCCTTCCATCTGTGCACAAACTTATCTCGTGCCCTCATTGGTCATGTGCGCGTTCGTGTGTGTTGGAGGAGGGGCTCTATAAGGAAGTGGCAGATTTTTTCCGGCTGTGTATTTTCAAATTCTAGCGATCTCGAGCCGGTTTCTCAAACTTACCTACCCTACCTTTAATAAAATCCATTCCAGACCGCTATGGACATGAAACTAGGTAATCAAAAGAAGTTGTAGCACAAAGGTATTAAAAATAGCATTAGTTGTGTGTCTTTCAAATGTCTGTCACATATCAAACCTAAAACTAGGTACAACACACAGCTGCACCTCTTCTACTATTTTGACTGATCTAAATTGTGGACTGTTTGTTAATCTCATTCAAAATGACTTGGACTCATTTATGGGAAGCTCAAACACTGTGTGTTAATATTACTTTTTGAGCCAGGTTGTATAAACAACACTGGGTTTAAAAACCCTGAGGTTTGTTGGGCCAGTATCTACGCCTGCAACTGCACTCCCAAGATAAGTAGCCGCTCCCTCCTGTGTCCACTGAACACATGCACATGTAGTTTAAATAGTATTACAAAAGTACTGCACCTGTACAACATGATGTCAAAAAGTGTTCTCCCTTGTACATTTAGCACATGTGAGTACATGGCTGTGAGTCCAGGCTCCTCCAGCAGACTCATGTCATTGGTTATAATTCCCTGAAGAAACGGACTCGTGTCTTGTCCCTGGATTTTCAGTAAGGTCCTTTGAGGAAGGTGATAGCACACACACTGTCCTGCAACATTTCTCTCCACAGTGTCCTGGCTGTACCCTCTGACACGGACACCCCCTGGAGCCGAAACACTGGAGAAAAACGTGAAGTACAAGTGCCGACCGGTGTATTTTCTGGCGGACGTGAACGCTCCCCTGGCGAAACACAGAACCCCCATGGTGTGTAATGTCACAGGAGTGTGTTCACTGTTTAATGTATGGGAGACACTGCCTTTGTTGACTGTGGTCGACGGCTACATAACACAGGACATCGCAGTTGACTCCAGTAGCCGGGGCTCCATTTTGAATTCCCACAATGCATTGCTCGATAATAACACAAGTGTTTTTTTTTCCCCCAGTTACACTATTTGTATGTCTGGAGCATACATATTGTATAAATAAAACTGAATATTTAACAATTATTATAATAACATGAACTTGATTTATTTTGCAGATAAAATAAGTACAGTGACAATTATATTTAGGCAGATGCCCTTTGCACTATATTGAAGTTGAACAATGCTATTCGCACCCGTGACTATAGTGAACAATGCTATTTGCTCCCGAGTAACAAAAGTGAACAATGCTATTGGCACCCGGTGATAGTGAACAATGCTGACAAGACAATCATTTTTTTTTTTTTAATGTTGCATAATTGAAATAAGCAAACAAAACTAAAGGAATATGCAAAGGAGAGAACATTGAGCGAATAAAATGAACAATAATATCGATGTACATTTGTTACAAATAAATAATTATGTTTTCAATCAACAGCATTTTGAACTCTCTTTTCTGACAAGTGTCTGACCAATGGCTATCCAAATCTCAAAGTATTTAATATAATATTTTACAAATATCATAAAATAAAGAAAATAAACAGTTCTTGATAGCCTACTTATTAGTTCACGTTTGTCAAGGTTCAACAGAGATACAGTAAATTGTTTGTAAGTCTGATGGATTTGGTACATGTTGTCATCTTGTAATAAAAAAAAGACAAGATTTTAGTATTTCAGTATTCTTCTTTTCAGACTACAAAACAGATTTTTCCATCCAACATATTTCTAAATCGCAAACATATGTCTCCATTCTCTTCTCTCTTGGCTCTGATCCAGTTTAACATACTGCAATATGAGAGTCTTTCTTAAACCAAATGTGTTACTGTTTTCCCTTCCTGATTAACTTTTTTTGCTAAAGGATATTGAATGTTTCCTGATAGAGGACTCCCATAACTGTATCAATGTAACAATCAGGAGAACGTTTTAGCTTTTGATAACTTTTGTAACCTGATGTAATACACTTCTATTTTATTATCATTATTATATTCATAAACATTAACCAGGATGATAAGAGCACTGTCTATATCAAGGTTACATATTACACACGTGCAATGTCTGCCATATCAGTTATATTATCATTATTAGTTTCAGTTTCAGCTTATTATAATTACACAATGTGCAGTACAAGCATGCAGTTTAACCTTGCTCCCACCAAAGTGTTGTATACATTCACTGCTCATTAAAACTCCTTAACAGATGTTATCAGATGATAATTAAAGAATTGAGCACACACACTTCTGTAGTTACTGAACAAAAACCTATGATAAACCAATGTTAAGTATTGTACTGCACTAAATACTTTTAAATACAGAATCATTTGTTAATATGGAAATTAAAGTAATATTGATTGGTTATGGGGTTTGGAACCTCTCTAATGTATGTTAGGTTTCTTTGTCATGTTTCTGAGTACCACATCTGGTGCTACTTATCCAAAAAATGTATGGGTCCAAGAATTTTTTTTTTTTTTTCTACAGCCGATTTTTTCACATTTACAGTACAACCTAAGCCTTGATTTGATTTTCTGACTCTGGAAAATAGGTGCTTTTCCATTTTTATAGAATTTTCCCACATTGAAGATAATAAAATGCTGTGTGTTTTTGTAGGTTATAAACATTTTATCGCCCTCCTGCACCAATGCTTTACTTTATTTTACCGGTAAGTACAGTTTACTGCTACACATATTTCCAAACTCTTCTTGGAATAGATAGGCCTACTTAAGACAACTTTTATTTGGTCAGCAACAGATAAGTTAAACATGTCTTATCTGGAGCATGAAATAAGATATAATACATTTGTATAAATAAGTCATTTACAATTTGACAAAGATTTTTGTTTAGATTTTGATTGGATCTGTTGCTTAGCTATAACAAACTTACTTTTACAAACACTCAATTGCTGTGATGAAGCAAAAAGGCACATCAGAGGTTTCACATAAGTTTATTTCGTCATGAATAAAATACCAGAACAGTCTTTAAAAGTTTGAGGCACTTTGAAGTGTGACTACAGTGAAGGCAGGATTAAATATTACTCATAAACCAATTTTAGAAACAAACATCATCTATGACAGGAAAACTGAAATGGTCATTTTAAAGACCAAGCATGCCGAAACATTAGATAAAATGTAGAGGTAATTTCCTAGCTAAGGGTGGGATTTCCCAGTTGCAAAGCATGCATCTGCTTCAAATTGCAGAAAATCAATATTTAGTTTAACAAATAATTAGATTTTCTATTAACTTACCTTTTCCCCTTTTAAACGGCAAGGCTTTGAAGAATACAGAATATATAAAGGCTTTGCACGCAATGACTGAAAATCATCACAACTTAACAGATGTCTACCAAAAGAGCATACAGTGACAGAGCCCGGTTTCATTATCTTTATCAAAATATTTCACATTATCTGCTTCCAGCAATGCTCATCCATACTACATCCAAAAATATTTCTCTAAATATTAAACATGCATCTTTCCAAAGTAATCATCATTCTTCGGAAATGAGTCATTGTACATTTGTACAGTGCTTTTCACTGCATTTTTCAATTAAGTTAGAGGGTACAATCACACACTTACAAAGTTAGAGTTCTCTTGAAGAATCCAGTTCAGCGGCAGTCAAGGGTAGACCAGATAAATAGCCCCAAGCAGTCAGTTTATACTTTGAAATGTTAGCTGGAATTAAATATATTTAGCTGAGTACGCACATGTTATCTCCAAAAGCTATGGCAAGCACAAAATGACAGGCTACAGTAAAAAGGAAGTTTTGTGATAATGGTTTTTATAGTTTCTATATGTATATGTACTTCTGAATTTTTAAAATGTGTGTATTATACTCTGTTCTCCTGTAGTGATCGTCTAAGTTGCATCTCTCTCGCACAAAGACACACACACACACACACACACACACACACACACACACACACACACACACACACACACACACACCACACACACACACACACACACACACACACACACACACACACACACACACACACACACACACACACAAACACACACACACATCCTGCAGCGGTGTCACAGTGAAGTCCTTGAGTCCGAAAAGTTTTAACTGTTAATTTATTAAATTAAACGTATGGCTATATCCAGACAGAGGTCTTTCCATTTTTAACAATAGTTGCAGCCTTCTCTGTGGCTAACTTTGGCCTTGCTCCTTGTTTCTCCTGGACTGTATTGACTCGATTTTGCTCTGCCATAGTGCCCCCAGATACAGGACTACTGGTCCTGGAGGTCTGCTGGATGGTTTTAGTTTGATATGTTTGAAAGGCCATGTCAAGCTGCTCCTGTGCAACACGTAGGTGCCGGTGTAGGCTTGCTAAATCAGAAGGGATGTTCTCATCTGGGCTGGTGCACTGCTGCTCCTGGGCCACATTGGCCATGTTCTGCTTGTGGGTGATGAGGCTGTTGGGGATCCTGGTAGGTTTGTCTGTCTTCATCACAAGGTTATACCCCGGAGGGGAGGCTGGGATGTTTCGAGAAAACGGGTAGCCATAGGACATCCGTCGGCCCCGGTTCCTCTTAATGCGAAGGGTGTCCCGAAAAGTGCCGATTCCTAAGTGAAGCATCTCACACACATTTAGCACTAGACAAAGACAGCTTACCACATACATGATGAGAAGGAAGATAGTTTTCTCTGTGGGCCTGGAGATAAAACAGTCCACTCTGTGTGGACAGGGGACCCTGTTGCATACATATGAAGGACTAACTCGAAAACCATAAAGGAGATACTGTCCTGCAAGAAAAGCAATTTCAAAAATAGCTCGCGACATGAGCTGAAGAACGTAGATTCTCATCAGGCCTTCTTGCATAATTCTTCGGCGGCCATCATGTTTTGGTGGCTGCGCTGGTTCAGGCTTGGCCTCCTGCACCTCCAGTGAATCTTCAAAGATCATGTGCTCAGCATCGTCGTCTTCATCCCCCTCTAAGACATCGTCCAGATGATGGCTTTCTCTCCATCTGGAGTGAGGAGTAAGCTTTTTTCTGAGCCTGTGAAGCTTCTTGCGATCCGCTTCTGAAATCCGGGCTATCTTGTGGATGGCGTAACCCACGTACATGATAGAAGGAGTGGAGATCATGATGATCTGGAAGACCCAGAAGCGGACATGCGAGAGAGGGGCAAAGGCATCATAGCAGACGTTGTCACAACCTGGCTGCTTGGTGTTGCAGGTAAACTTTGTCTGCTCGTCCGAGTAGATGGACTCTCCTCCGACCGCTGTGAGCACAATGCGGAATATGATGAGCACAGTCAGCCACACTTTCCCCACAAAGGTGGAGTGGTGGTGGATCTCTTCCAGGAGACGAGTGAGAAAGCTCCAGCTCATGTTGCTCTCACAAGCTTTTCAACTAGAATCTGTAAAGGGAGAATGAAGAATTAATTAGGATCCGTGTAGATTGAAGAATTTATATTCAGTAGGTTATGAGTTAAAGAAGGAATTGTCATTTTGAAATAGGAATTACAGAGATTGTCACCTTGTAGTGTTATGTTGTAATTATATTCTTCTCACATTTGTATTCTGTATATCAAATGCCTCTGCTGTTTCTGTCCAACTAAAGCAATTTCGAACTAGTGCTGAAATTAACAATTATTTTCATTACCTATGTATCTGTACATTCTTATCTTGCCTATAAAAAGTCCTAAATCCAAAATGCAACTGCTACTTTCATACTTTCAATGTCTTTTTTTCTCACACAACTCCAAAACTCAAAATCTTAAAGTTTACTATCACACAGTATAAAACCTGAAAATATTCACATTTGAGATACGTTTCTGCTTTTTGTCAAACATTAACTGTATTCAATTGCACAGTAAGACTTGATGTAGAGGAGACATTTATTTTCAATTGCTTGCACAGCCAAACACAAGACAATAGCTTGTATTGATTCATGTCGGGAAGCAGGGTGATGTCATTCAGTCACCCTATCTAACACAAATCATGCAGTATTTTTTATAAAATCACCATCTTAAATAAATAAATAAACAATTAAAGAAACAAATATGAAATGGGTTTTAAATGAGCAAAAGAATAGCAGGGGAAAGATTAAAAAAAGAAAGAGAAAAACATTTCGTCCGCCGTGCACACACCAAGCAGCAACAACAACCCTTTGGAGCTTGGACCGTTTTGAACGCAGAATACTAAAAGAGGCTGAAAAACACATAATGGAAATGACAGAGCTCTGAAAAGCGCATTCTGGTAGAAGAGCTCACCCTCAGAAACATACTGTATTCAACGTTTCAACACGATGACATGACATGAGACCTCACAGTGTCAACTCTCTGACTCTGTGAGGTGAATAAGGCTACGCTGAGGAGACAACGTATCGCTTCTGTCCGCTCATTCATGGGGCAGAGCGAGCTGCAGAGTTCAAGTTGATCTCATGACTGTGGCACTGTTTTCCCTGGCTTGGGATGTGGCATCTCGCCTGCCATCTGACTAAACAGGAGAGGTTTGTTGCTCTGCCACGAGGCCTTCCCTCAAGATCAGGCACTGCTGACGCTGGGGAAGGGTACAGCCGCATGGAGGCAGATGGCACCTATGGTGTGCGACTCATGTCTGCCCCAGGATGGCATGACAAGAGCTACACTGAGGAGTTTTACGTTCCAACAGATCTGTTGTGTGTCATAGCATCAACATCATACCCTATCATTGGGAATCTTGAGATATCTGCCTGCTTTTCATGTGTTTTGCAAAGTGTCAACTTTCAGATCTTCTTATGTTGATGATTTGCTACCAGTCTGTCTTACATTTTCAGTTTTTAACAAAGTCTTTCCTGAGAAGGGATCTGTAATCTTAGTGGGACTTGTGAGTTAATTAAAAAAGGATAAGATTTTAGTGAAGAAAAAGCAGCATCATGTTTGGGTAATGATTTTTTGCTTAACGCGTCTCGGTTGAGACTGTAGAAAGCTGTAGAAAGTTTTATTTATATCCTTATAGGGAAAAATATAGTTTTAGGGTGGATATGTTTCACTAATGCAAGCTATCTCATTGTACAATACAAGCTACAGTGGTAGTTGTATTTACAGAAAATATACATATTTAATGAACACCTTGACTTATGATATTTAAATTCACCAATAGGGAAACACTTATAAAAAACAATATGTAATAAGGTTGAATAAATTAGACTTAAGTCTTAATTGTAAGAACGGGTATTTCATAATCAATGAAGATGCAGGCCCGCTTATTAAAAAGGCATATTATTGCGTTGTTTGTAACTGTAAATAGCTTTGTCCTTATAGCAGAATATAAATAAAGGACTGTTGCAGTGTCAATAAATTATCTTTCAGCAGAATACATTTCAGACACAGGACCTCCCAAACAGTCCTCAATTTTACTGTCACAAAATGTGCATTTTCCATTATATGACTAAACAAAAACTATAATACCATTTCATAAGGAGACAGTCAATAACTGAAACAACCCACCTGGAAAAGTTGCAAATGCATTTCCCATCCTCAAGGTCTCCTTTGCCCTCTCTAGATGTCCCCTGCACAGTCTGATCCCTGGGATATCGCTTCCATCCTAATGTCCTGACCTTTTCCGTTATTGATAACTTCCAGAATGTCAAAAACAAAACAAAAAAAGGGTGAACTTTTCAGACTAGACTTTCTAATTATTCCGTTTTCCCACTCTGTGAAGAAGTGAGGTCTCGCCGCTGTGAATGCCTCACATTCTGGCTTGTGTCTGGTTTCTATTACACCAGCCTTCTGCCCAAGAAGGAAGTATAAAAAACAGAGAGACAGAAAAAAATCCTCCTCTGGCAAGTGACCCTTATCCAAGGGTTCAGACTTGAGGATATCGTACTGCAGATTGAAATGAACACCCAGCTGAGGGAGCGTGTTAATCGCAACACAGTCAACCTACCCCCCAATGCTCATGTGCAACATTTATAATACAGATGATGAAGGTCTCTATCTCTCTCTCTCTCTTTGGTTTCTCTACTCTGTCTCTCTCTGTCTCTCCCTTTCTCTCTTAATCTATCTGTCTTAGCTTCCTGTAGGTTAATGTCTACATGCTTTGCTTATACAGCAACAGCAGTATCTACTTGTGAGGTGAAGGGTGATGTATAAGAGTCATGGCACACTTCTCACACATTTGTAAAAATGCAAAAGGTAATTTAAAGCTTCCGTCTGTCTCTCTAGAGCTTTCTCTTGTCTTAATCATGAACACACAATCAAATGCATATGAACCACAGTAAATGTAGATGACCACAGTCTATATTATTTGTCAATTACATAACAGTTTAAAGTGTGTGTCAGTTATGGAAGAACAACTTTGGGGAGAAAAAGACACAGAGTTTGGGGACAGAAGTGTCACCGAGACATAAGCCACCTTGCCTCAGTGCAGATCCGTTAGAATGTAACCAGTAGGTACACTCAGTCATATCAAGTGTCATAATATTTAGATCCTCCGTCCAGGCAGATGGCCAGATAACAGAGCAGTGGACAGGTCGCTCTTAGCACTCCTGCTACACGTCTTTTCCGACTTCATGTTTATACCTTCAAGGTATCTCTCTCTCTATCTCTCTCTGTCTCCCTTTTCTCTCTCACTCAGACACACACACGCACATACTTCCTTACATTAAAAAAAATAACACGGCAAAGTGCAGATGAGGAGGTGATTCATTCAAGATTAAAAACGGAAAGGAATTTCTCCATCTCTTTATTGTGTGTGCCAGACTTACCCGTCACATTTGGGAAGGGATCTAAAGTCAGCTACTCTTAATAGAGGACAGATAAACGTGTGTGTGTCTGGCTTGCGTTAATTAAATGTGTCTGGTCATTGTCACAGCGACAACATTATTATAATGTTACTTTCACAAGGCCCTCAATAACCCTAAATTATGACCTGTGTACAGCTATAAAGCCAAGAATAACGTTCAACAATACCTGAAGGCCACCATCAGGCAGATCAAACTTTCAACTCTATTTCTTAAATGATGATGAAAAATGGCTGTGCTTTAATATATTTTTTGGATATTAGACTGTCTTTAGGTAGATAGCAAAGAAATCTGCAGTGAGAAACAAGCACGTCAGAAGCCTTTAGATGCATTTAGATCCTGTTAGTGTTTGAGTAATTTGTGGTCGAAAGAAAGCTCTGAGAGCCAGCCATCTGGGCCTGCAGGACCCGTCCTCCTGAGGCCAGCCTTCAGGGCTCCCCTTTCCGTCTGACTGAGGAGATGTGGCATGGCGAGCACCCCTGGTGCAGCACTGAAGAAAAGAAGACAGGGAATGCTGCTGGAATGACTAGAGCATTTGGGGTTTGGACATGTGCTATCCCTAAGGGACAGATAAGCACGTGTTTGTAAGTTACAGTGCATTTCTTTCCATCCAAAATCTTTCCTTCATCAAAACAGCACAGATGGTCCAGTGGAGACGGTTGTTGAGTGAACATTCGACTTAAAGTTGTTTCTCCAACATTTGGTAGAACTTGTGGGGATTTAAAATGTACACTCACTAGGTGCCAATATGCTCTACTCTAATTTATACAGGTTATATTTGCACATGTAATACTACCAAGGTACTGCAATTTATCCTAGTCTTTACATTTTTGTGTAAGAACATCGTTTATCATTTTTAATATTGGCAAATACAATAAGTAATTTTGCCAAAAAGGGAATAATCAAGCAAAAAGATTGATCTTCCAACTATTATTTGGTCTTTGAAACTGCATTTAAACGCTTGAAATGCTCACAGTTACTTTAAGCAAAGGCAAAAGTGCACAAACGATGCAGTCAAACCAATGACTGTCTAGTTTTAAATGTGTTGTCACTGTGTCCTCTGTGTACAATTCAGGCTGTTCTAGCTTTGGGAAACTCTAGGTCATGCTGATAAATATTGATTGGATTGCCCAAAGCAATGAAAATATAACAGTATTACCCTGTAAGACATTGTTTGACATTGCTCTTGTCACAAGGACTGGCATCATGTGAGCCAAATATGAATGTTTAATATTCATTAGGGTTATGGTTATATTTAGCATTAAATGTAATATCGAGCAGATTTTGTGTCAGTTGTGGTAGCATCTGGAAGACACACACAACTTTAAAATAATCTAACATGACAGCTGACAATTAAAGACAAACAAAATTGAAGAAAACTAATCAGCAAAATATTGTAGTGCACTTGCTGTATACAATCTTTAAGAATCAATGCCATTTTTAAAACGTACTTTTATCACAGACATATTTTAACAGACAACATGTTTGTTTTTTTATTCCCAGACTGTTTCACCTTTAGGAGGTCACTGCGAGCTGTGAGGGTTTGCAGCGTAGCCGAGTGTTGAAGTGATGCAACGAGTGAACATCTCAACAACTCTCCTTGGCCGCCACCAATGTCATCACAAGAGTTTTATCCACATGTATTTACTGAACAAAGTTGATGCGAGCAGACTGGGGGCTGTGGAGGTCTGTGTTTATGTAACAGATCAAGCTCCACCATGTGACTTCCATGTCCCCCCCTCAGAGAAAAGAGTGACACAAGACACCAGAGCAAAAACATGCAACTTTGTGCTTGGACTCCTTCTCTCTCCCATCTCTCCTACTACTATCATTAAACTGCTCTTACCAGGCTGTAGGGGGCTATCCCATGGGCAGCCTGACAGTGGTGGCAGTCCCATCTCATTTGTTCATTTTTCTCCCAGTTTCTCAGCCAAGCCTATCCTACCCCCAGGGTTAGTGCGTCCCGTGCCAGTTTTACTAAGGCTGTACTCCACTGAAGCGACTGAGATGAAAAGCCTTGAGGTGGATGCCAACAACTTCTCTCAGCCAGGGCAATGCGTCTCCCACATGAACACAGCAACCAACTTGTATTGAAAATTAGCCTCGCCACTACGGTAAAGCGAGGGAGTGTGTGTAAGGGGATTAAGTGTTAGGTTAGCTGTCTTTTCCTACAAATATTTTACATATCATCTTCATCCCATACTCTGAATTTATGTAACAGGAGAAAATTAGGACGTATAGCAATATGTTAACAGTCTTAATACAATTAAATGTCTATTATCTGGTTCCAGTTTACTGCCCTACAACAATCTATCTATTCTGGTAGTAAAAAAAACCTGTTTTACACATCAGTGACGTTGCTTAACAATTATCAGCTTGACCTGTAAACTTAACATCAAGAGCTCAAAATGAGTGTCTCATTTATGTTTATAACATAAGTAGGAAAGAGTAGAACGCTAACTTTTTTCTAATGGTCAGAGTGAGAGCTTTATTTTTCACAGAAATGTTTTAAACACTCGAAAAGTGTGCAACTAAAAGACATGATTAATTGTTGGCTTCGCCCCATTTCTGTACATTAAGACCCATACTGTACCCATGAATGTACACATGGGCTACATCATTGGGACCATGTTTGGTTATATTACTGGCAAAGTTATATGAAAATATAGTTCAGTGGAAAGCCAATATCTGATTTAGATAGCTAGAAGATAATTATGATATGTATTTATGATGAGTCACAATAGATTACAATTGAACACTACTATACATACGATAATCAAGACGTGGTAATACATGTACAAGATGTAGATACTGTATTTATTGCTTGTTTTATTCTCCGTCATCATTTTTACACTCACTTGCTGATCAAGTTTTCCATCAGGGCAGAACAATTCCAACACACAACTACCCATCCAAATAATAATAATAAAAAAACAAGGCTGTGCTTGCAGTGCTGGAGGGCCTTAATCTTTGACATTATCTTGTCTAAACTGGCTATGTCATGGGCTGATCTGGGGCAAGCCCAAAGGAGCAGCAGACCTAGTCAGGGTCATTTGGACTACCAGAGATAAGTTTACTGTAACTCCTTCATTCAAGACGTCTTAGTGCCGTTAACCTTCTCCAACTCAGTGTATTCCTGTGGCAACACTGCAGGATTACACTGATAACAGCAATATACCATTATGGGACACAGTTATTAAGCCAATGATAAGACAAGACAATCTGCAGAGCAAAAGGCACGGGCTATATCAAATTCTGCTAAATATTAACCTTCAAGGACAATGGTTATGATTTGTGCAAGGATGGTTTTGCATTTAATAAAAAGAAAAATAACACCTTGAATAACCTTTGCTTTGAAATCTTGATTCTGTACGTAGATTTTACAAATGTTCTCTACTTCAGTCAGTGGGCATTTATATCCACCAGATGGCATTCATGTATTTAATTAATAACAGATTCCTGGAAAACCTTTAAACATGTTTGGCTCATCCTGACTCCCTGATAACCAATCATATGTGAAGACGGTTTTTTGACCCAGGCATGAGGATAACAACCTTGTCATTCGGAGAAATGACTAAGTTGACAATAGGTGAAAAGCAAATCCACGTCAGGTTGTCATAACTACCAAAACCACCTCTGAATCACTTACTTTGAGGGGGATTGTATCATTTACAGGCATTCAATAAATACCACTAAGATAGTAGAAGATAATAAAAGAGTGTCAACGAGTTTATATGAAGGCTGCATCACAACAGGAAGGGTTGTACAGTGAGAATAGAAGAATAGGGAGGGATGAAACCCTCTTTAATGGTCACACATGCAGAGCACACAGCACACACAGTGAAATTTGGCCTCTGCTTTTAACCCATCCTAGTACAAGGAGTCTAGTACTAGGAGCAGTGGGCAGCTATTGTACAGCGCCCGGGGAGCAATGGGAGTGGGGGGGAAGGGGGGTGTGGCCCATTGTTTTAGGCTTTTGTGAATGGTTTCCTGTTTATAGCTCTAAACTCTGTATCACAGAAATAGATTATTTGTCTTTCTGTTGGTTAAGAACATTCACAATATGTTTTTGTTTAGTTTGCTTTTTAGGTAGAAGCGGTACCATTACAATTTACCGGACAAAAATAAATGAATTATGTTAGTGTTTAATGGTTTTCAATAACCATTGTGGAGGAAACTTCTGTGTAGTAATGCATGGAGTCACCGACTCAGGAAGGAGACACGGTGAGAGTTGGAGCTTTGATGTCAAACACTGATGGGTTTATTCAGAGTATTCGGCCGGAGGATTCACATCACAAATCAAAGGGTCAGAGGTTCTGACTTCACGGTAGAGTTGCCACGTCAATTCTGAAGAGCCTCTCTCTATGTTAGACCTTTTAACTGGTTCACAGAGAATCAACATCTCTGAAGGAGTAGACTAAACAGCTGGGAACACTGAGCCACCTGCGTCCGACACTCATGGCCTCAAAGATTTCACATCTTAGAGTCCATAAACACCGATAAGGAAGTGCCTCAGTGTTCTCACAACAATTACCATTCGTGCCAGACAAGTTGACCGGTCACAAACTGGTGACAACAACACATATGGCACCAAGGCCTTTCCTTAAAGGAGATAACAGACGTCAGAGTAGATCATAAAACGTCACAGAGCAAAAGGTTAGATATCTAGAAGAATTATTCCTTAACAACCATGTATCAATATGAGATTTATTTGCTCATATCATTTGTCAATGTCTACTTTTGTAGTTGAATAACAGACAAGAGTCAGGTAGAAGTCAAAGGATAAAATACAAAACACCAACACCACGTGAGACATTAACACTGTGTGATACTGTATCATTTGAATGCAATGGCATTCAAAATAAACCCCTTGGTGTGCTGTTAATCCCCACATTGAGTCTCTTTCACCTCCCTCTATTAAAATTGTGAATTCAAATGCTTAGATCATGTTTTGGCAAGTGTAACAAGCAAAATCTCCTTTTTTCTACAATCTGAAGTTGCATATTTCTTCATTGAACTAAAATACTATGTAATGTAAAGTTACATCCTTTGTCTAGGCATATACTGTATAGCCAAAGACAACATACACAAGAAGCAATTCACAGCACAGAGTAAAATAAAAACAATAGAGCTGTACCTACCTTTCCATGCAGATAAAGCAGGATCTGATTCTATAGTTTCTGTAGGCTCATCCTGGCTGGCATCCAGAGGCATCGTATCACTGCTCGGGCTCAGAGGCAGGATGAGAGACAATGGGTCATTTTTCTTCAAAACCCCTCTCCACCAAGTACAGGCAGAACACTCAGGAGGCCAGCTTCCTGCCAAAGGCCCTATTGTTATCCGGCCCACCCGCCTCCATTTCCATAACCACTGTCTGTTTATTTATTTAACTCAAGGGTGACTCCTACAAACCCCATTCATATTCCTAGATATTACCAGTGAGGTAGCTATGGACCCCCAAAACCTTGCTTTTCTATATTAAGCTTTGTGTGGGTGTGCATGCAAAATAACTACCAAGATTATCACCAGCGATGCTCATTGTTTCCAAGGGTTAACTAACCCCCCCCCTCCAGGGGATGAATGAAGTATCTGCTCTGGTGAAATCCAGCCTGATTAGGTATGTAAAGTTAACACATCGTACATGTTGTTTTAAAAAGTTAACCAAAAAGTTCAAGTTTGGAGCTTTTGCTCATAAATAACCAACTTTAGGATACTGGATTTCAGATAGAAAGATTTGAAATCACGTTTGGAACTCTTCAGAAGTGCTGAGATACTGAATTTAAACCTCAACCTTTAAACATATAATGAAGATAAGCAAGGCATCTACCAATATATCTTATCAGCATGAAACCTATATAGCTTCTGATCATTAGACAAGTTAGATGAAAAGTCTGCCTGTAGGTAAACAATTAAATACAATCAAAGTGATAATTAATGTGTGTTGAAATGTTTTAGGCATTGTGGTAGGTTCTGACGGACAGTATCCTTATGTAATGTAGTCAGATCAAAGTGGTCGAAATTATTGGATTTTCATCCCAGCTGTGCATTGAAACAATCAAATCAGCCCAGATACATCTGTGAAAATCCCTAAAAGAATCCAAACAAAGTGGTGCCGCATGTGTCCAAAATGTTGAAGGATAGTTTAGTTAGCAAGTAGCTCACTTAAGAGCTAAAGTTGTTACAAGGAATCTATGCCTTGGCTTGCAGTGTTGATGTTACAATTAACTATTTTGTCAGGAGACATGACCAGCTAACAGTTTGTTATATAAGTAATATGATGGCTGGCTAATGCTATATAACGTTGTCTGATGCTAAAAATAGCTATATGTTTGGTTGCCAGGTGATATATGTATCTTTGACCTCACTGCAATTTTGATTCTTTCATATACTTTGACTGAAAATAAAACAAATATATCATAAAGTATGCAAAACTGGCTCATTCAGCTGACAAACACAAATATCAACTCTTAAGCCAACATATTGCTAAACTAATGTTAGCATCAGCCAACCTTAACTAATGCTGTCAGGTAATATTATAAGTTTGGCAATTATTATAGTTTTACAAAATATGGTATTTCCGGCAGGCTTATCAAACAGTTCTCTGTTCCTGAGCCCTTGTGTTGTCAGTTCCTTTAAATGACAAAGAGACATGTGGAAAGCATTAGTACCAGATGTGTGCATGTTTGTTTCTGTGTGGGCATTCCACATCAAAGCAGCTGTTTAACAAAGTTGGAATGTAGGGTGATAATCATCTTTCTCCAGAATGTCAGTTTTGGGCCCTTTTTAAATTGAATTTAGTTGTGAAAACAACTTTCGCATGTAATTCTCTCGTCCCGTAGAAAAACAAAACTGCAAACCTCTCCTTATGGTACAAAAGCAATATGTAAGTGAAAGTAAATGTGAAATTGAAAATGTGGCCTAAGCAATTCGTCTTCCTCCAAACATTTAATTATTCCGGTTATACATGCCATGTTTTCTCATATCCTATAAATAAAAAGGAAACCTAATACTACTACTCCTACTACTCCTCCTCCTAATACTACAACTACTACTATAGTATACTACCACTACTACTACTACTACTACTAGCAGCAGGGGCTCTCAACTTCAGACCCCAAACTCCTCCTTCCTCCTTTCATATCTTCACTAGCACACCTGAGTTCCATAAGGATAAAGAAGGATAAAGATTTCTAACATAGGCATTGTACCTATTTGCTAACTGCAGAGATTTGGTCCTTTGGCTTGGCTTGCATGCATTGATTTAATATTCCCTTGAAACAGCAAATAATTTAGAAACCGGTGTAAGGGTCATGTAAATAGAAGGGAAGATTGGGCAATGGAGAGGCTATCTGGACCCTTTCTCTTTGCCGTAAACAAGAAAGATACAAAATAACAATTCTAAACAAAATACTCTATTAGTGATGATATTTTAATTATTTTAAGACCATTTCAAAAACCATAGTGTGGCACTGTGGGTTCATCAAATAAGCGATCTTTGTAAAACATTTAGTGTTCATTTTGAAGTTTATTATTATTATAGTAAATACAATGTTATTATTTGTTAGTTGTAAAAGTTATGTTGTAATTTTCTCCCAACTCATAGTGGAACAAGTATTTTAATCATTGTTTTGTATTACAACAGCAAGATATCATATTTTGGATTGCAGCACAGCAATTACAGAAATATATCTAATCCCAGTCTTATTACTGAATGGCATACAATTATATTCTATACAGTTTGGAACATTGTATTATTTCTGTGGTTCAACAATCAACACAATAATCCACATCCTCCACCACCAACTTGGAAAAATAGTATAATTGTATTAAGAATATTGGTAAACTCCTTCAGTTTTCAATTAGGAAGATAAATGTACAGTAAGATATGAAACCTGAATTGCAGAAAGTAGTAGGCATATAATTAGATTTCCAGGTGACACATATGAACTATAACAAGAGTTCAAATTGGTCAAAATTCAGATTTTGTAAATACATGTGTTTTTGTGTATCAATATATTTCTACGCCAGTCACATTAATCATCAATGTGACTTTTTGTTATTTGGGTGAATTACATAATTACGTAATTTGAGGTCGGAACTTCCCAGAATAAAACCCAACCTTGACCTTCTATTGCAACAAACAGAATGACGTTCCAATCGAGTTCATGACCTACATATACAACAGCAGCTGGATAACACCGGCTATTTCTTCTTCTTTTTTCTCACCCCTGTACAGACCTCTAATAAAATTCAAAATTGGTACAGTATGAAAAATAACCCTTAATACTAGAATCACAATTTTCCTACGTAATTTTCAAAGTACTTACAGTGATGTCTAAAATCAGGTAACATTTAATCAGAAAGATGTTAACCATTGCTTCGTTTAATATCTGAGTCTGTATCGAAACTGAACATCTCTGTCGGGTTGCATTGATCCAAAGCCCCATCGCCTGAAGTCGATTCCAGGTATCTTCTCATCGGGTTTCTTCAGCTCAAACTCAAAATAAACCAACATGAGGAAAACAAACTGCTTCAGCTCATTGGTAGCAAAAAAACGCCCAGGACACATGGAGACCCCTGCACCCCAGGGCATGTTGTAGTACTTCACCTTCTTTCCTGCTTTGTAGAAATCAGTTTTCTTGGTCCCGTCTGGATTGAGAAAGCGGTCATATTTGAATGCATGTGGGTCAGGGTGGATCTCTGGGTCAATGTGAACGGCACTGTAAGGAAAGGCTGCCATTTTGTCCCCCTTTCGTAGGAAGTATTCACGCCCATCAGCCATCTTGAGGGTCATATCCTGAAGCACTGCTCTGGTGAGGACAGGTGCAGCAGTGAGTCGGAGGGTCTCTTCTACAGCACTGTCCAGGACTGGTGTTTTCATCAGCATTTCACGGGTCAGGTTTACTAAAGGCCCACCACGTTGGACTTCTTGCCCAAATTCCTTCAGAAGTGTATCTACTTCTTCCTTCACTGCTGCCATGGCTTCTGGGTGTTTCATGAGGAAAAGGAGCAGCCAGAATGCAGAAGGCCCTGTGTTGCCCTGAGAGGCCCAAAGAAGCACAAACATGTATCTGCTTCTCATTGTCTCCTCTGAACCAATCTCCTCTGTGGCCTGCTGGATGTCCCACAACCAACGACTCACATTGTCCCTTGACTTTATCTTCTGCACTGATACACTGTCCAAGAAAAATCCCATTAGCCTCTCGACTTCCAACCTTTGCCTTGGCAGCAGGATCCCGTAGGCCAGGTTGGGAAAGAGTTGGTCATATTTACGAAACTCGCTAAATAAGGCTTGTGAATCAACTCGGTCTTTCTCTTTGGCTTTCCTCTCATTTCCCTCTGTGTTGTGTGGCTCATTGCCAAATAGAGATAAGTAGCCGGCCCTGAAGACAATATTATAGCTGTAATTAAACAACCCCTCGTCTATCCAGGTTCCTTCGTCTGCAGATGTGCCTATGCTGTGCAACATTAGGTTCTGCAAATTACTCATCATGGCTTGTGTCATTACTGCCAGACCATCCCCCTTGAGGTGCTTGTTGCTGGCCATATGGAGAATTTGGTGTCCGCCCTCTGCAGCTTTGTAACCAAACACTCTGTATACCAATTGAACAGCAAACTTACTGAAGTCCAGTTTTTCTCTGCTCTCCTTAACAAACGACCCAAACGAAAGAGGGTCCTGAAGGAATGTAATATAACACCCTCCCAGCTGTACTGTGAACACATCGCCATGCTTTTGCTTCATCCTCTCCAGGAACTTCAATGTGTTCCTGCGAAACTCTAAGACATGACCCAGCCAAGGCATGAGCCCCTTATCCAAAGGGGGTTCTCCTGGTCTCCGTTGTCGAAAAACCCCGAGAAGGTACAGCCCTCCCAGCAGAGCAGCAAGAAAGGCAAGAAGAATCGGCAGCAGCAGCCCCATGACTGATTTCTCTGAAAGACAAACAGAGAGTGAAAGGTAAGGTTAACATCGTTCATGATATACTAACTTTTGCTCCTCCCTTTTCCACAAACTGCAATCTCAATGCTTTTCCTTTTAAGCAGGAAACAATTAACTGGTCAAAAAAACAGCCAAGCACATGGTCTGAATGAAACATAAATAAATCATTGGTATGTTACAAATATGGCTTTGAATATCCTGTAATGTGTTTGATGAAACACTATATTTAGCTACACAAAAAAGTACTCACAAGAAAATAATAATTACACTTTTTGTTAGCACATGTAACAAAAACATTCCTATTAACAATTATATTTTTTTCTGTCTTGTTTTTGGCAAAGAGAAAGGGTCCAGATAGGCTCTCCATTGCCCAACTTGCCCCTCTATCTTTTAATACCATTTTGTAACCACAAGGTGGCACTATGGGTACAGCAGCATATGTAAAGAAATCACAGTGACTGTGAAGTGATTATCATCCCACACAAATTCATCTCTTTAGGTACTTCTAACTTTATCTTTAAAAAGTAAACTTATCTTTAAATACAGTGCTGAGCTCCTTTAAGAGAAATATATATATTCTCATACTCAATGGCAGAAAATTATATTTTCATGCAGTTTAGGACATTGCATTTTCACTGTGATTAAAAAATAATAAATCACTCCATAGGCGCGTTCACACCAAGTACTTTTCTAAGTTCATTCAATCAAGGAACATTTAATTTGTTTCTAGTGTTTTGGTGAATTAAAGGCTCAACTGGAGGTGGGGGGAAAAAATCTAAAAACGTAATGATTAAGAGTAACTGCAAAAAACGAAAATGGAATAAATAAAATAATAATATAATAGATAATACAATCATAAAAACTCACTTATAAAGATATTTAATATGAAAAATGTATCCGGCATTGATCCGGACCAGTGACCTTGTATAAAGTTCACAACTGGACCGTTAATAAAAAAGTTTGAGTACCCCTGCTTTATACCTTAAACAGACGTTATTAGAGCAGTAAAACCACCAGGGGAAGTGTTAGGAGATGTGTGAAGGGATTTTCTTTTCTTTGAACATGCTCTAGACCAGGGGTGTCAAACTCAAGGCCCGGGGGCCAAATCCGGCACATGACTTTATTTGCATGTGGCCCCACAAGAGCTTGCAAAGAATATTATATGTTAATTATACGGTTAAATTATGATTTACAGCACGTTGCCAATAAACTACATGTCCCACAATGCATCTCAAATTTGACTTTGTTCTCAGAATTTGACTTTTTTTCTTCAAAATATGACTTTTTTCTTAGAATTTGCCCTTTTCTCAGAATTTGACTTTTCTTTCAAAATTCACTTCTTTTTTTTAAATGTCACTTCTTCTTTTTTTAAATGTCCCTTCTTTTTTTCAAAATGTCACTTCTGTTTTTTAAAATGTCACTTCTTTTTTCAATGTCACTTCTTTTTTCCAGAATTTGGCTTTTCTTTTAAAATCATTTTGTGACATTCTGACTGAAGAGACTTAGTAATTATGAAGTTATTACCCTATCTGATAATAATCCAATGCAGAGGCAATAATGTAATATAATACATTATTTTATATATATATTTATATATGTATTTTTGTATAGTCTTACAGTTACAACCGGCCCTTTGAGAGCAGCCATAATGCTGATGTGGCCCGCGATGAAATTGAGTTTGACACCCCTGCTCTAGACTGAGGTTAGGACCTCATTGGCATACGGACACAGAAATACATAAATAAATAAAATCTGTGTTCTGTTTTATTCTTAACTTATATATTTTTATTTATGTCCATTTTTATTTCGACATGTATTTATTTATTCCTGTATTTACTTCCACATTTATTTATTTTTGTATTTTTTTATTCCTGTTTTCTTTTTTTTGTACATGTTCTGTCCTCCATACCTTTGAGCTCGTTATGTGCATAAAGGTACAAATCACATCACAGCAAAACCTTCAGTTGCAGATCATTGTTTTAAAAACACATATGTGGTCCAGAGGTCTATGCATTGGCTTTTCCTGCAGGTGCTGGAGGTTCATCACCTGGGGGAGGGACATATTTTGTCTTCTGCTATGCTGATGTCAAATCTGGAAAAATGTATCTTTCTCAAACAAAGTCACGCCCATGCGATACTTTTTATGGTATGGACAATAAGTTGTTTCTTTATTTATGCATTTATGACAGTTTTTTGAGTGGGTATGGTGCAGCTACAATGATAGGTTAGCCTTTTAAATATAAAAGTATTTCATTTTTTTTAAGTGTTTTGCCTGTCATCTTGGTGACTGACAAAAGATACATTCAGGCTTGTTCCTATTGACTGATGCAGCTTGCTTTAGACAGTTCTTTGAATTTAAGTTCTATTTCCTTGTCTGGGTACAAGGCAAAGTGAAAAGCTAGCGTAAACATATTAATTGGTAATTTACAATATTACTTCCCCAGATCAGCTAAGACATATGTGTTGGATCCATAGACTGTATATATAAAGGTTGGATCAGTAAGAAGTAGGCTACACTGAGATATGGCACTACATTTCACTAAACAACAGGGTTCTCAGAAGGTTGTCTGGAAGATATTGGTTGTTTGCAGCACTCCTACGTTATCTGTCTACTTTAATCTACAGTACACATCAAGGCTTGGTTCATGATCAGTGGGACCCGATAGTCCATAATTGTATAAAGGAAATACTCCAGGCTCATTAGGGCTTCAAAGCTGTTCTGAATGTCCTTTTCAAGAAAGGACACACTGCAGACGCTCTGCAGAAACGTTTCAAGTTTCTTCCGGGAAGATACTAAATATTTATTCTGCAGCTCTATAAAAAAGGAAATACCGTTTTTTCAATAAATAGTTCCTAGTATATAACTTGGCCGGCAACATTTGATAATTTCAAGAAAAAAATCAGAGGATTGTCGATTTGCATAAGTTAAAGGTCCCCTATTATACTGTTTTTCATTACTTTATTATAGGTCTCAGATATATACCTAACATGTCTCTGAAGTGTTTGGCCTCGAAATACCAAACAGATCATGCATTGTAGCATCCCATAAACTCCTCTGTTTCAGCCCTGTTTAAAAAGTGCTGATTCTGTCTTTTACTTAGATGAAAATAAGGAGCCACTCCCCACGCCCCTCTGCAAGATATTTGGTTAAAACAAACACAATGGTACTCTAGGAAGAGATTCAGGTGATAAGGTGTGGGGTGTGACCTTGGTTGGTTATTGGCTAATGGTTACACAAGCCAACAAATCGTTATGACATTATAAAGTGGCCAAAATCTGATCAGCTCATTTTTCAGTCAGGTTTTTATATAAATGGATCAGGACAAAAAGTGAGCAAATATTTTGTTATGTATAAAAGACAGGAAAAAGTGGATTTTGCATAATAGGTGACCTTTAAAGTAATTGTGAAGTGTCTCATAAAACAAAAAATGTGGAACATAAATATTATTATTATTAGTAGCCTAATGTCATCTCTATTGTTATGTCCTAAATCGCATCCAGGATCCAGCACGTTTCAGAAACGTGCACGGTGCTGCCATTAGAACTAGAACAATTTGAACATTCTGTTACATCATCCCAAAGATCCACACCAAAACAAGAGTATTCAACCCCATCTACCTCCACCTTCGTTTAAACAACAGTAAGGCAGGGACGAACGTAAGAAGAGATTTTACAGAGGCGCAAACAAACGTCAGGCCAGAGAGTGTGTGGGTGTGATATTTAACATTGAAAAGTGTTAACGTATAATATTTCCAGCTAGAAGTACAGCTGCGAAACAAACTACACGCCGATCGGACCAGAAGTAGTACCCAACATTTGTTTCACTATCTTGGATTTTCTGAGTGTGTTGTACAAGTGATGCTGCGTTCGGTACACATCAGATTCACTACCACCATCAGTCTCTGTAGCCTGAGCATAATCAGATGCGTATGATAATACTAATAGCGAACATATGCTATGCAGCCAGAGGGGATATCATATTGTATTAAGTTTAACTTTGACTTAAATAATGCCTGGACCTACACACATTTTATACGGAACTTAATTTAAGGGATTTTCTATGTTTTACCATTTTGTCTTGTGATGTGAACGTTACACACGCGTGTCACCGCTGACGTTAGACCTACGTAGTACGGTAGTTACATCACGTTGCCGGCTTGCCACTTCCTCCACACTACGTGCGATCTGAAGCTCTGAAGACTGCTAAACATTTGAGGGACAATTTGTTTTCAGGCGATTCATTTGACGACACACCCCGTTAACAGGTAAGACATTGTTTTGCCAACTGTGTCGTAGGCTAATAGATGTTTTCTCTGGTGTTAAAACAGTAACGTAAGTCCTCCATTGTGTAAGTCCTCTATCTGGATTGTTTTAGTGTATTCTCTCCGGTGTTTATTTTATGTTGCCTATGCTCAACATGTAAAACAGTATTACTTAGCATAACATACTCGTTTATACATAGCCTATCTTACAATATGCAGAGAATAATAATAATAATAATAATAATAATAATAATAATAATAGCAAGAAAGGTCGTTTATTGACTCTCTGCCCTTCATGTTTAACCTTTAGCAGTTCATGTGAAATGGACATTAGATCTATCTGAACATTGAGTCAAAAACAAACTTGGGTTACTAATATGTAGGCTACATCATGAAGCTTACCCCAGACTCTAATAAAGGTTTACAGCGCAGTTTATATGAATCTAACAATGGATGGATTGGATCCTGTACTGAATTAGCTGGATTGCTAAAACCTCTAAGTCAAATTTGTATATCATTTTCCTTTTTTCTTCTCCTACTTAGTCAAGATGTCTGATTATGAAGAGAATGAATCCAAGTTCATGCGAAAGGCAAAGGAGAATCCATTTGTTCCAGTGGGTAAGTACATACTGTGCCCTAATGATTATCACGAACAAAGTAAAATTAATCTAACTTGTTTGAAAGTATTCTTTTAAATGAACTTTCTGGTGTTTTTGATAAGTGTTACTCAAGGCAGTATCGAAAGAGATGACACACTGAGAGTCCATTTCCTGTATCTGTGCAGATTTATGTAGTGCCCCTCCTCTTTAGGAAACTAGTGGCAGGTCTGATGGTGTGTCGCACTCATACAGTCTTTAAAGGTGGGGTAGGTAATTTTGGAGAAACCAGCTCGAAATCGCTAGAATTTGAAAATACACAGCCGGAAAAAATCTGCCACTTCCTTACAGAGCCCCTCCTCCAACACACACGAACGCGCACATTACCAATGAGGGCACGAGATAAGTTTGTGCACAGATGGAAGGCTGACAGGCAGGTAGGCCATCCAGTTATTTTAGCCGGGCCGGCTAAAATGATTGGTCGTGCTTACAGTACTACGGCTTCCACAGATGACATTTTTTTATGGATTTTTTGTCAAAGCACTTAAGATATTCATTGCTATCGGGATGTTAAGAGCATTCCATGGAATATAACAAAAAGTGTATCTCGAGCCGGTTTCTCAAACTTACCTACCCCACCTTTAACTATTATGCAAAATGAACTTTTTAATGTCTTTTATACATCCGCCCACGGCCCAACCTATCGTCCCCTTTCAGAAACATTGTTGTACCAGAAACAATGCGCAATGTGTTTTGCAAGTAATATGGTCTGTATTTACATTAGCAAGCATCGCTAACACTCAGAGCTAACGCTGTACTAGAGAGAATATGTGTCGGCACTTTCGTAACAGGTTATAGGTATGAGGCATGCTACAATGGGTGATCTGTTTGGTATTTTGAGCAAAGCACCTCAGAGACATGTTTTGTATAGATATGGCCCTATAATATATTATTCAAATATAGCATAATAGGTGAGCTTTAATTCAGAAAACCTTTGTTTGGAAAATGCCATGCCACTCTGAACACTATGCCCCTACTTGTGTAGTGTGTTCGACAACACACCAGAGTTCTCAGTGTACAGTAGTATTGGAATGATGACCAATTATTTTGCCCCAGAGGTCATCAATGTCTTAATTGAATCCATTTTTCACAAGCAACATCCCTTCCACCCATGCTTACACATAAATGGCATTTTTAAGTGGCCAAATAATAAAAATAATACAACTCTGAAGACCAATTTGTGCGGTTAGGTTTTGTCATCAACACAATTTTGCCAGATCTGGAAACACAGAGCCTTTAAATTGGTGAAACTGTCCAAATGTTAAGCTAACATCCAATGCCATTTGAAAAAGCATTTTCTAAAAATGTTTGTTCGCTGTGTAATTTTCTAATTATAGCTATACATCAGACTGCGTCTACTTAATAGACAATAAATATATGCCATGTTATAACATGCCGGATGCTTTAATGCGTTATGTTTAGTTATAGACTATTTCTGATTTGAGCTGCGCGAAACATCGGGTTTCTTATTTGGTTCAAACATTCCATAGGCACAAGCAAAGTTAGCATCTTGGGCATCAGCCAAATGCTAAAAAAAGGGTTGCCAAATATAGTATTAAATCTAAGTGAAGGAAACACTGCTCAACTTAACTCCGCTTCATTGATCATGCATTGATTGCTTGTAACATGAGTTTATTAAGTAATTTACAAACAGGAAGCTAGCTAGTTTATGAGCCAGATCAGCCCAGGGATACTGGAAAATAGCCAAAGTTATCCACTCAAAACGGTGCTTTCTACGTTAGCTACACACTGTTGGCGCTATAGGATCTGTGTAGATGCAAGACATAGGCAGCTTACCCAACCGTTACATCATTTGGATTTTTCCAGCAAAAAGGGCTGGCTTCGTTTTTACCGAGAAAGTCTAGGAAGGTCTCAATTTGTAGGTTCATGCTATGATCCATTCACAGTTTCACAACACATGGAAATTATTCACATTATGTTATTTCACATGGTACCTTTTTGAGTCTCCCCCATTTTTAATACTGCACTTTAATTGTTGTTGAAGTTTGTTTGAGTTATCAAATTAAATTGATCTTTCTCTTTTCTACTTGCAGGAATGGCTGGATTCTTTGCCATTGTGGCTTGGAGACTGATGAAAATGAAAAATCGTGGCGATACAAAAATGTCAGTTCACCTGATTCACATGCGTGTAGGTGCCCAAGGCTTTGTGGTTGGTGCCATAACCATTGGTATGTATCTTGTTTATCATGATGTATTTGATTTTAGTAGATTTTATTTTTAATTACAAGTGGTTTGGATTAAAACTGTATCCTTAAAAGAAATATAGGTCTGGATTCTGGCTGGTTACATTATGACCAATTTTACTTTTCAATGATACAAGTAGATTGTAAAGGTTAATGTGTAACTTATCCCTGTTGTTTCTTTGTTTTTAGGGGTTCTGTATTCAATGTACAAAGATTACATTGTGAAACCCAGAGAAGAACAGAAAGCCTTGAAAGACAAGTGAACATGGACTCTAAGATGGACATTTTATATCCCTTAATATTACCTCATGTTAAGGTGTGTTGAAAGTTTATTTGTACAGATGTGTGATATATTTTGTATGCACACATCCCCTTTAGCAGCTCACCTCTACTGTAAATTGGTCTGTCCAATTGAGTACCTCTAATGCTTATCCTCTAATGCCTCCGTTTCACTGACTCAACTCACTTTTGGTTCCTTTACTCAATTTCAAATTGTACCCCTGAAAGAATCGCCTCATTGTAGGTTGGATACTCCGCTGATCGGCATAGCAGAATTGTGTGAATCTGCTGTCAGATCATCATCAACATGAGATTTTCGGGATCTTTTCTTTTTCACCCAAATAGAGGAACGTCTGCACTTTGTAAAATGTCTTAGTGTACGACTTTGTATAAAGGTTCAGCCAATTGTTTTAGGGGTTTGAGTGAATGAAATAAAAGCGGTATTTATTGATGTTATCTTGGCTATTTAAAATAAGGCAGGTTTGAGCAAACTAACTAGTGTTCTGGAGCGTTTTAACTCCACCTATTATTTACAGCTCTTCCAGAAGAAGTGTGTTTTAAATATCAAAAACTACTAAGTTGGACTAGGCTAAGACTATATTTAAAACAACCACCAATAGGAAATCAGACATTTCTCTTCTTTTTTTCTTTGTCTTACACCAGCGATTTATTTTTATGTAATTACGCAAGTATTTTTGTCAAATGGAAACTGATTGCACCTTGGTCCACTTTATTTTTATTTTTTTAACGGACATCCGAATGCTTAGGGAGTTTTGCCAACATCTGGTCTCAAACAAGGCCTGTGTTTAGACATTATGTAAACAACAAGGTCACAAAAGGTTTGCGACTCACCCATAGGGACTCACCACAGTATCAGATAGTCACACACATTTATAAACTAATCACACAGAAATTAAAGAAGGAACAAAACAGGAAACAAAACCACAAATATCCTTTGTATAAATAAAATGTGTGTTTTTATTTCATATTTTTTACACAAAATGATTGCAAAGGCCATGTCTTCTTCTTCACATTTCTGTCATAATCTTGTGATACACTGTGGTCCAATGTTTCAGAAGATTGACAAGTCTTCATGGGACATATGAGACTAGGTTACTTGGGTACATCTTCACACAATTAATGATCATTATATACTGTAGCCTACATTGGGATATGCTTAAATAGATGCCTTGTTAAGTTATTCACCAAGTTAAGTTTTGAATGTTGTGTGAAAATACGGAAATATTTCTTTTCTGGAAATACAAATAAAAGTCTTGTAATTCTAAAATGTCTTTGTGTATGTTTTGAAAACTCTCCATATACGCTTTTTTTCACATATATTTGGAATGTTTAAACATATTCATAACAAATGTTTCTTTTTAAATGTAGCCTACAGTTCATGACAAAAAAAATTATTGTGTCTAGGTCATTCTTTCTTGTTTGATACTCCCTGTAAATGGGAAATGTTTAGTCATTGTTTTATTGTGCAACAGTTGGTGTCTAACAATTCCCATCACATATTTGAACATTCGCCATACCTCAAATAAAACGGCCAGGAACTTCATTCCTGGACTGATATCTATCAAGCTTTAAAATACTTTCCCACCCTCAGATCAACAGGAAATGAAATGCGTCATTTCATGTTGGCAAGAGGCTCTTAAATGCTGTGTCATTGTGACTTTGCACTTGTGAGTGTGCTGATGCCAACTGATATTTATCATGTTACACTATATCATTTATTTACAGTTTTTTTTTATCAAAATAATTCCAATTGAGGATTCCATTGCCATTTCTATGTATAAGGTCAAAAAACACCGGGGGCCAATATCTTATGACCACACAATACATGTGCGTATGTGTGTTTGCATAATAGAGACTGGAAAACACCCTTCACTGTGTAATGTATGTCGCCCTCCAATGGTCTTTTAGGATATTGCTTGGTAATAATATTAACATGGGAGAAAAATACTTTTATGCTATGTTCCCAGAGCTACATTATTGCTCTCGCGAGATCTTGTCCTAACTCTCGAGAGTGCCGTTGCTATGGACGCAGTAGCGTCGCAATCAGCGAGGAAGGGTTTTTCACATTCGGTTCAAAAGGTTGCAAAACAGAATATAATGTGTTTAAAAGGACGGTACTTGGACACATACACCACGGGTGAGTTATTTTTCTTAGCTTTTTCAAATTTAACTGAAGCCTACTTAGTAAGAAGTTTGAAGACTCGAATTTGTCATGACATCTGTGTATTCACAGGTAGGCTACTCATATTATCGTCAACATCAACAGAAGCTTGCTAATTGCTCGTTACGAAATCTAGCATACAGTAGTGTTTATTTTTGCTTAAAGTTGTCAGTTTCGGTCTGTTAAGGCTCATGCATTTTCAAATAAAGGTCAGTGGTCATCAATAACAACAGTCATGGACTTTGCACAACAAGAAGGAGGTCTTATATGTCATTATCTCTTGGAGCTATAAAGATATGATGGTCTCATGTTTGCTGTAATTCTCACAATAATTACCTTTTCAGCATTTATTTAAAGAAGTTCTTGGATTTGGTCAATGGTAAAATATAGGCAATGAAACTACCAATTGACAAGTTCGTAAAATGTAGGCCTATTTATTATTTGATTGAGTTAAAACAAACACATGCCAAATCTATTAACTTCAAATCCAGAGGAATATAAAAAAAACCATGATATAACTTTAACCAAATGCCCCCACAACTTTTAACTATTTTCCACCTTTATAAGTTGAATTATTTTTTCTTATGCTATAAATCATAGATCATGGAGCATGAGGATGAAATGAACGACTTACGGCTTCAGTTCCAAGCGCTACAAAAGCAGCAGGAGAAAAGAAAACTGGATAGGACAAAGGAGAAAGAACCAGATAAGCTTAATGTCATTGAAACCCAGGAGGATTTGGATCTATCTAAGCAAGGTATTCAGGCAGAGAATGTCGAGCACAGGTGAGTCCTGGCTAAAATATAGTTTTGTATGGTACATTTGTATTTGTTATGTAACTTTATTAATTGCACACAACATATAAATAAGCATACATTCTAATCAACTATTTATTGTTGAAGAATCATGTTTTTATACTTGCATTGAACCACTGTTATCTATTTAGTGTCTATTTGTCTTAATGACCTCCCTATAGACTGCTGCAGAAAGACAAACAACCTTTGCTAGACCAGCTGAGGGAGTTAAAGGATGAAAATGGTCGGCTCTTCAAACTACTGAGTGAGAAAGATTTTGAAATTAAACACCTGAACAAGAAAAGAGAAGAAGAGCGACTGGTATTAGCAGGTAAAACACCAACGCTTTGCACCACAGTAATATAAAGAATGATGGCTACATCAGAGCTTCCTTGTGACTTATCCTCTCCTCCATTTAGGCACGTCGGGCCTGGCAGGGGATATCGCAGCCACCAAGATTGTTGAGCTGTCCAAGAAGAATCGAGAGCTTAATGTTGAAATTGAGCGAGAAAAAATTAAATCTAAGCAAAACAGCAACAGAGTCAAAGAGCTTGAGAAGGAGGTAGCTGAGTTTTGATTTGATTGTGACATTTTATTTGATTTGCGGATTGATGTCACACAAATCCTTACACCTTGTTTTAAATTCAATAATTGCTCAAACAAAGATATGTTTTTAAAATTATATTTGTGAAATATATTTTTACCAAGGGAATAAACAATATATACGTTTCACATTATGCTTCTCTCTATAGCTGCAGGCGGCGTTGGTGTTCTCTCCACCTGGGCAAAAGATTATTACAAAGTCACAGCATAAAACGTCTGAAGACTGTGAGGTAAGAATAAATGTGAAAATTCCCATAACTTTTTTATTTTAATGATGGCAACTTATTCTGAATCTCGTGTCATCTGTTCACAAAAGCAGGAACATCCAGTGGTGAAATCTCTTCAGGAAAAACTAGCTGCTGCCCAGCTGAAAGCAACTGAGTATCGCAACCAGGTTCAATCTGCCAAACAGGAGCTGAAAGTAGCTCAGAAGGTAGAATGATGTTATACCTGTAGCTACTCTAATTGAAATAATTAATCAGCATTGACTTCCATATCTAAAATATGAACTGTACTGTAGGTTTTAACTAGTGAGATTGGAGAGGAGGTCAACTTTCAGCAATTACTGAACAGCCCTGGGAGCTTTAGAGGTCGATCACAGCAAATAATGGCTCTTCAGACAAGGGTAAGCTGAAACTCATAATAATCCACCTCGAAGTTAAGTCATTAAGCTAGTCACAGAGTTAAAAATACATTGTATAGTCACTATAAAAAAGCAAAAATATAAATCAAACAACCAAACTCAACATGAACATAACTGGGTGTTGTGCAACAGGTTCGGGACCTGGAGCAGCAGCTGAACCGGTCAACTCAGCAGAGACAGCCAAGCATCCTGAGTTTGGAGGAAGAGCTTTTTGACAAGAAAGTCCTCCAGAAAACCCTTCCTCAAGAGAGGAACCTCAGCTACATCCGCACCATCGAAAAGGAAAAGAGGGAGGCATATGAGGTGTGTATCATTAATTGTAAATGCATTTGAATATGAGTATTTGTTGATGAGACCCTGCTCTTCTTCCAGAGGATCTCAGCGGACTATGAGGCCATCCTGAAGGACCATGAGGATGTGAAAAAAAAGTTGGAAGCCTCTAAAGCCAGGAACAAATCTCTGTCTACCGAAATAAAATCTCTGAAGGTCCAGATCTCCACCCTCCTGGAAAAGGAGACACATGATAATGAGCTAGTGGATGCCCTGCTGGTAAGGCTATGAGACAAGAGAATAATATCTATGTTAGGAAACTTTATATTATTTCTACACACATTTCAGGTTGTAGCTCTGTTAGGGAGAAGGTACATAACATGATTTATTTGGGGTTTAGCAGCAAATGCTCCATTAAAGGCATCTAATAGTTAACATATCTAATGGTTTATTAAGTACACAGTTCAGATCGTGTTACACAGGCACAAACAATCAATCAATAAATCAAACTTTATTTATACAGCCCAAAATCCCACATTCAACATTCGTCTCGGGGGACTTTAAAGTTTGTTCAGAATATGAATATGAACAACCTTTGTCCTTAGACCCTCATACTGTATAGGACATACTGTCACAGACTACAGAAAGAAGGATCTTTTGTGATACGCCTAGCCTGTAAATTGCTCTTAACAATAACCGCCTCTTCTATTTCTGGTAGAAACAGCAGTCTCAGATGCAGGAGGTGCTGAGACAGCTCGGCCAACAGCAAATTGTCCAGAGCCAGGAGACCCCGTCGAGACAACAGCTGAGCAGCGAGCCTTTTCAGCACAACGCTGTCATCCACAGGCTGAGGCAGACCGTGGCTGAGAGAGAGGCCAGAATCAAAGAACTGGAGGACCAAATACAGCAGCTGTCTGTCAACGTAAAAACACTCAAATGCAAAACTATGGGAATGAAAGACAAACTCAACGATAATGTATTTCAATTCTAAGTAAATGGAACAAAAATGTAATATATGTCCCTTCAAAACGTTGCAATACTTTTTTAAAAATGCATTCATGATATACAATCAATGTTTGCAGCAAGAGAGCGATGAGAGGCAGTCCAAGACAACACTTTGCAGTACAGGATCTCCGCCTGAAGAGGGAGACATTGACAAAAGAATAACATTTTCAGGGTACGTACAGTAATGAAACTTGTGCTTAATTATCATTGGATATGCATACATAAAATATTATTTGAATGGAATTAGTCAGATCTTTTAATTTAATCTTAAAGTATTATTTTCTGCTAACTGTTACAGTAAGACTTGGTTTTTAAGACATCTTTTACAACAAGTCACTCAGACTGTTTTGATTTTGTTTGATGCCTGTTTTTCAGAGAGTAATTTATTTTTATATTTTTGCAGTTCTGTTTCTAAATTTGGTCATAAACTGGTGTTGCCTGCTGTGGGAAGCAGTATAGAATTCAAGTAAGTGGACACACTGCTACCCTATTTATAATTTGCTACACAATGTGTTGGACTGAGCAAGTTGTTTTTCAGTGTTGTTTTCAGGGGCCCAAGTTCTTCAAAATGTCCACAATATTCAGCTGATGTGAGCGCACTAATGAGTCAGTGTAATGACTATAAAAACCCCTGTGCTCAGAAGGAGAGACTCCATGAGACACGAGGCGCTGAGACTTTGTTTGTTTGCGGGTCTGTTAAATTATTCACATGAGAAACACTGAACCTCTGAGATTATATTTTGATGTGGCTTGTTTTTGGGCATCATAGACATCAAAGTTATGCCTCTGATTCACCACCCAAACATTATTTTAATTTGTGGTTCTTAATACAAGCTCTTTTCAGAGCCATGGATTCTTGATATGGTTTTCTTAGCACTGCAGGTTGTTATGTATTGCTGACTACTTCTCTATTAAATGATTATTTAATGAGTTAGTAAATCTATCAATGAATCTATGTCCATCTAAAGTCTCATTAGTGCATCTCTAAGGTCACCATCGATGAGGGAATGTAATCATTTTAAATACATTTTTAATCAGAGACCTTGCTTAAATATTCCAGAGAACAAGAGACGAACCAGGAGGAGCGCCGCAAGATCCTCGAAAAGCAGGTGGAGTCGACACAAATCGATCCAAAGTAAGGACTGGGCAGTCAGCAAGGGAAAAACTGGTATGCAAAGGTCAGTTACAGTGTGATGTGACAATTTCAAATAGATTTGACATTTTTCCTCTTCTTTTCAAATTCCCTGACTATGTTATAAGTATTATACCATGTCTATCTTGTTTCTTGCTATCAGAGCTCTGCCCCTCAGAAGCACTTTTCCCCAGAATCAGTGGGGCAGCAGTCGCCGAGCAACAGGAACTGGTAGATGGTCGGAAACATTGGTTGTCATTTGTCAACATCTTATTTTTAAAAGAAGCAAGATTTTTGTTTTTCCAACTCAAGATTTACACAAGAGGACAGAAATAATGATGCCTGGCAAAGGACATATTGTTTATGGACAGTGCTCATTTCAAGCCCTCATGTTTGGGCAGCACAGAGATGTCCATGTTGCTTTTGTTTGTTGTCTCCTGGTTGGACATTTAGCTGGAGGAAACGCAGGCGCTGAGGGCATCGCTAAAGAGCACTCTCCACCATGACCGGCAGCTCTGCAATGACGCGATGAAACAAGCCAAGCATGTTTTCCTGCAGGCTCTGTGACAGCCCAGACTAGACACTAACCAGGGGAACTGGCCGGTCCCTGCTCAGCCTCACTTCCAGCTGAGCCCTACCTTCTCCTGTCACATGTGACACACAGCAGTCTGCAGGAAACAGGCTCTCCTCCTCTGCCACAAAAAACATCACACGGATCGAGGTCTTTTTCTCCATATGAAACCTTTCAAGACGGTTGCTGTTGGTTCCTTTGTGCTTTTGGCAATTTGAGTAGCTCGAGCAGCAGAGCTTTCAAATGTAACCGTGGTGTGACAAGTGTTCCTACTGAGTACAGACATTTTTGATTCAGATTTTCTCTGCTTGCAGTTTTATAAATGTCACATTTCATTGAAACTCTGCATGTGTTTTCCTCTGCGGGTAACCTGAAGTGCATTACATGTATAGAAAGCAACAGTCTGTTTTGTAAGCTATCCGGAATGTCCAATTTAATCAATGGAAGGCAAACCCAATCTTTACCAAATGTTTTGAATATATTGTTTACATTCATGGCTATGACTTTCCTAGAGTTATGAGTTTTTTTTGGCCCCAGATGGTTGTTCATAAATGTGTGACAGGCCAAGACAAACAGTAAACACCCCAGTTAAGTTCCCATACATTTCAATATTACGTTTTAAATATTCCTGCTAATCATTTCTGACTTAAAACCAGATGTGTGGGAATAGTGGTTGAAAATGAATGAGGGCTCAAGCTACACAAACTCCCACTCTAGTCCTCCGTACAGTCCCCAGAGCGTGTCACACGTATGTACAGAATGCACGCCTCGCTCCTCAACCCAAAGGTTGCTTGGACGTGCACAGCCTGGTGGGACTGCGCTCCACATTCATACTAACATCCGAGTTATTTTCTTCCGATGTAGCCAAAAGGATTTCAGCAGAAACCCCCCTTCCACCTTTCCTCTCCCTCCACATCACGCTTAATTTAAAACCATGGCTGAGTTAGTGTGCTGCTTCAAATACCGCACTATTTCTTCCAGGACCCTGTGGGAGATTGGCAGGTCCCCATTGGACTGAGCGAGAAAAGTGCCACAAGACAAAAATATCAGAGTTTGAATGTGATGAAGAAAGCCTTTATGCTCAGAGTAACAAAAAACTGCTTGTGTTAAATACCTCCTGGATAGAAGGAGAGGCACGCTTTAATGTAGTAGAGGGAGATGTCATTGTAGGAACAGATGAGATACCATTAGCTTCATGACTGCATGCCTTGCAGGATTGCCTAATACATATACTGTTTTCGAAATGTGCGTGAGAAAAGGTGTTGGTGAAAATACGTGTCATGGTCCCTTCCTGCATTCAATTCAAGAGAAAATGTTGAACTTAACACATTTTTGTTTAGGCGTGCTTTAAATTGTCTGCAGACAATCTTGGCCATGACTCTCTTGTAAAATAGATTTTTAACTTAAATAATCTAATAATATACAACCTCATAAATCAGTTTTGTAGAGCATGTCCAATATTTTCTCAAACATTTAATACAAAGCTTATATTTGGTCATAGGTGATAGAGAGATATTACAGGCTATTGGATCTGAATTCAAGCTCATTGCCGTTCAATATTAATTTCACTGTTTAATTTCAGTCACAAATTAATGTCACAGATAATGTGACTACTCTGGTTGATTTAATTTTTTTAATAGTGTCATCACTTTCAAATAAATTACACTTCCCCAAACAATTTTAATATCGTTTTATGTAGCTGTATTACGCAGAAAGGTGTAGATTTATTCCAAAATGCCCAATAACCCACCAAACCAAACACAAACTTATGTAAACACAGCATACGTAAACAGCCTCACCTATTTGTCATTCCAGCTTTGAATGACTCCTTTCTCCATCCTTCTCCTCAGAGGTATTCCCTCGTTCTGGACCAATGCTTCCTGCAGACCATTGACTGCATCCAGAAACTAAAGTAAATAGTGGAGCCGTGAACGCAGAGGTTAAAGTTAGCCATCAGTATATGAGGGTTCTGTGAACTTTACTCAGGCCAGCAAACGGTTTGTGCCTCTATGAGTCCATTCATCTCCTAGTGCCTCTCATTTACATGTAATGGAAAGAAAATAAACAGCGGTGTCCTAATGTGCTCATTTACAGTAAGTAGAAATAAAGTAATGGGCTGTTATCTTTACTAAGCCAGTGGTGAAACACTGATAAGCTCAACAAGTGAAATGTTGATCATAGTGTAAAGCAGGAGTGGACTTCTACAATAAAGTATGATGGCGTTTTACTACAATCACCCACAAATGTGTATTTGAAACTTAGTAAGCAATGTTGGCTTTTAAAAAAATCAAGTTTATATCATGTCAATACAGCATGCTCTTTGTTAGTCTTTTGATTATCTCAGCAGGATGGCATCACTAGATGGCAGTGTGGTTGGTCATATACTGCACATCAACCTTTTGTGATGGGTTGTTCTGACAGTCAGTGACTTGTTGACTTGTCCAGCAATAACACTATCTGTAGCCAAAAATGCCACTTAAACAATCGCTTTGTACTCTGTTGTACACAGCAATGATGTGCTATTAATACTGTACATTTTAACTGTCATTAGAATTACCTAGTTGTGATTAAATCAATAGATATTAACATGAAAATGATCTCACTGCTTCTGAAAGCTATGTTTTGAATTAAAGAGTTGATAATTATGATATCAAATAAAGATAAAGGTGTAAAGATAAACACAGCGGTGACATTACTGTAGAATATCTTGCTACAATTAATCAAACTGACACTTAACACAAACTGACTATGAAATGTTGACAGCATAGAAAACTGGTATACATTTTACTGTAGCTCCTCAAACTCTGACAATAGCATTCTTTCTGCTGCTTGCAGCTTTCCTCCCTCCAAATTGCTGTACTAACCCAGCTGTCACACTTGACTCTGAAATTAAATTGCTTCCTATGTTCTGTCAAATGTTCCGTCTCGGAAATAATCAATTTCTCCAGGAAACACTCAGCCTCAAGTCGGATGACTGTCTTGAAAAAAGGAAAAAGCAGTTTTGTTTTAATTCAGCATCTAGAAATCTTCAACATTATGTTTGAGCAATTTGAAATGCCTCAAAAAACGGCTCTTGTCAGATGAAAGACAGGCAGTATATATTTGTAGCCAAACTCTTCCATAGCCGGATGTTTGGGTCATTGGCTGTCACATGTGTGTCCATCATCACTAGTGTGGATATCCTTAATAATAAATCACAACACTGTCACTTTATCAGCCCCACTGTCATCTCACCATGCTATTTGTCTCCAAATCCTACTGTGTAGTTTCCTATTTTGTTTTATTATTATATTATATAAACACCTTGTATTTTTCTGCATATAAATCTCTATTTATTCCTGTCCGTTTTCTGCAACAACCAAATGTCCCCAGTGGGGATCAATAAGGGTATCTCAATGTTTAAGCCACTCTGAGGGCAAGTCCCTTGAAGAACACATTTGTTTAACAAGTCCCTTTACACATGCTGACACAATGGCTTTGACATTTTGCTCTTGAATACGATCACTGCCAGTGGGATTTTCTGCCTGAGGGAGATGTGTGCATCAGTAGCCTGTTATCAGCCGTGCTCATGCATGAGCACGGCTGATAACAGGCTACTGATCTATTAAGTTTTACCTTTATCTGAGAGTTCACAGTGAAGAGAGAGATAGAAATAATTGGGAGAAACAAAAGGGGATGACATGCCAGCTGAGCCACCTCAAACCCCCAGGAGGCTGGCAGAGAAATATGTTTGTTGTGTATGCTTTATGAATATGAAAGCTTTGTCTAGACACAATCACACCCGATGATTAATGCTTAATGGGTCTCATTATGTCTGCAAAGCCTAATAAACTGGCTCTATATTTAGTGCGCTATGTAAAGGTGAAAGCAGAGAAAAAATGAAGATGCTCAGATATTTCAAGCTTTCAAGAAAATCCCTAATGAGTTACATTATTAAAGCAGAGTGCTACTCAATTAAAAAATGTAGAGATGGTGTGCTTATTTACGTCAGCTGCTCCATTCTGAATACGCTGTTATCTGTTCCTGCATCTATCTTATATAACTGATTTGTTATTCTGTAAAAACATAGAAGGTGGGACATACTTGTATAACATAACACAAATGTACAGGCCAGCTCTACCACCCTAATGTTCCTCTACGGAGTCTACACGGATAACAGGTGTTAATGGCTCCAAGCATCTCTCTTCTATCGCACAGAATACAGCTCAACATTTGGCCATAGGACGGAAATGTCAAGCACTCACAGTTAGTCCCAATGGAGGAGGCCTTTTGACTCCCTGTATTACATTTCAGTGTTTGATACATGAAGATGCAACACATCCTTCTTAACCCATTCTTCACCAACACATCCAGATACTAAGAATACAAGGAGATCTCAATCTGTTTAGTTTATTTAGTTGCATGTATCTAACTTCATGTGATAGAAGCAAGAGTGCATATTGAAAAATATTAACTTGAGTTGTGTTGGACTGTATTTGCTTGTCTTTTCTGGGTTTCTTTATCAACATTTATTTTATGTCAAATTGGTGAATGTATTTCCTTGTTTTAGAGCAGTTTTTTTAATAAAATATATATATATATTTATATATATTTCTTGTGTTTTATCTGTTGGGTGTATTTTCATAATTTGTATTATGTTGAGCTCTTTAGCCAGTGTACATTTCCCACACAATTCTTAATACAGCATTGGTGATGATGATAAAATAATTTATTCTCAATTCTCAATCATTTTCATTTAAATGATTAAGTAGCCGTAATACAGATAGACATGTAATTTCAAAAAGGGGTGAATTGGATGCTTAATGTATTTAAACCTCCATTGAAGACAAATAAAATGCCAGGACAGAAAACTATTTGAGCACCTCTCTTATTATTGTATTGTTAACTTTGACAAACCAGGCTACAAAAAACAAATCTATTCTCAAATAATGTAATGACAAGAAATTCAAAACCCAAAGTTTTATTCAAGCAACACAGCAGGCTCTTTTATATTCCATAGTCCTGTTATGGTGATTGCATCCAACACCTCCGACAAGAGCCAATCACTGGGAGCTGTTTCCGACTGAGGCTGAGGATAAGGGTTCTCATTATCACCAAAACCCTTAGGACCGGCTGCATTTCCCATTAATCATAACAGGGAAGTCAGATTAAAGTGTGCTACATATGGTCAAGTGATTTCTCCTGGATCAATTCACACAATGTATAGTGCCCAAGTTTTGTGATTAATGTGAGCCAAATTGTCTAATATGTGTAGACAAGATCAATTTGTCACTGTTAATTAAAGATTTACCCAGGACCAAGTAAAGTTGTCTAGATGGTGCTATTATGAAAAAAGTAAATGTAATACTATACGCCTTTTAGACCTGTACTGAGGATGATGCTTGATGCATGCCTCAACGGGGTGCTTCAGGCAGTTGAATGCAGTTACTTTACTGAAATCATTATGTAATCTGCAGGCATGTATCAAGTCTGGCCATCATAGTATGGGTTTGAAAATTGGATTTTAAATTCACATTAGAAGTTGAGATGAGGTTGGTGCCAAAGTACCTCCTGGCAATATGATCTGTTCAAATGGACAGGTTGTACTTTTAAAGAACATGATATTAATGTTGGTCCAAACTCAGCATCGTAAGCATTTGTGTCCAGCTGCAGCAAAATGCTGTTTTCAGGGAAAATACTATCTGCCCTGCAAGGTTGGCATAAAGCTGATGAATATAGCATTTATCAAAGGACAGATATTCTACTCAGGCTTTGGTGGTTACCCATAAATAGAGCTAAACCATCACCCTGTGACGGTATCACTGTCAAGACGCCATTTTGAGCCATTTTTGATGGCACTTCCGATTGTTTTTCATATTCATTTTGACCTTAACTACACATCTGTATTGTTTAGTGACTGTATCTTACATCATTGTGACGTAATTGCGGTAAAACTGTACACAGACACACTCGTAAGGTGAAAAGAAGAGAACTTCTTGCGGCTTGTAAAGAAATAGGAACATTTACCCAGAAACAAGCAACTTGTGCATAAACATTTTATATGTAAATGTGAAAAGCTTAAATTGCAATTTTGTTTTACTGGAATAACACTATATATACTATATACCACTTTAATGTATTTCAATTTGTTTTGGGGCCTTTCAGAGAGATCATAATATTGTCATTCTATCTTGTGCACTGCTGTGTCATGGTGTACTGGTTAATAGACAAATAATTTATAAGCAAAACACGGAATCAGCTAATAGAAAATGATGTATTTTAAACCACATACAGCTTGTACGAACAATTTAGAGCCACCCCTATTATCTGGACAACCTGTAACATTAAAGATACATCAACATAATAAACAGATCTGCAATTTGTTACAGACTTTCTTATTCTTTATGATCTTTAAGTAGCCTACAACTTTGGCTTTAAATTGGAAACTTGTTGAGGAATCTTATATTAAATTCTAATTTGTTTCCATCTCTGGAAACATCATACGTTAACGTCACCCGGCCACCTACTACACAAACACATATGACCATTTTGACCTGTTTGCTCTTTCCTAGTCATATTGGAAACACTTGTTCCACGGCACCTTGGCTTGACATATTCTGCCACAGAGAAGGGGGGAGGCTGTGAGCATTTTCACACTCCAGTTTCTAAGGTAATAAAAATGATGACGCTCACAGCCATTTGCTTCAGTGTCCTGCGCAGGCCAGCCTCATGGCTAACTGCACTGCCCAGCGCCCATCCCCCCACACTGTGCACACTGCCTGTCCCCGGCAGGATGAGCTGACTGTAAACCACACCAGGGCTATTGATTAATTAATGTACCACAACTGCAGGCTTGGCTCCCTGCATAGTAGTGGAGCAGTTTTCAGCTGCCTGCAGTGGCGTGTGCTAGTGTGTGTCTGGTGTTCCTGCAGTGTTGAGGGGAGGAAAGGCAAAACATAAGAGGAGCAGAGCAGCAGACAACTGTGGATGGGAGGAAGGCGTCAGCATAGTCACCATTAATCACCAAAGGGCCATTGTGGTCCTGTCCTCTCCACGGCGCCAGCGCAGGCAGGCAGACAGAAATAAAGAAGAAGAGAGGCAGAGGGACAGAGGGGGCAGGGTGGCTGCAGGGAGGAAGAGGGGGAGAGAATGGTTGGGGATCAGCCTGTATGTCCATCTCAGCCCCTGCTGCGGGGCGCTCTGCTGCTGTCTCAGTGTCTGTCCTCCGTCTTCTCCCAGGTCCCGGACCCTGAGGTAAGAGCCTGATACTGCACCGTGTCCTCCACAGGTCCCCCTCTGAGGATGGACTATCCTGAGGGGTTTCTGTGATGGGTGCAGGTGTTTGCCATTTAAAAGGTTGATTTATGTCATTTCTACTTGTTGTTTGGTTGCCTGATGAAAAGAGAGGGAACATTTGTAGAAACCTGATACATTATATAGTCTTACATATAGCCGAGACACGTGTTTTTTATGGGTCCAAACAAGAGGATAACATGACGAGTTGTGCTACCACAAGTTGTTTTTGTAGAGAAGGGGGTTACATTGTAAAGAATTTGACTACTACAATGATTTGACTACAAACAAACCATGAAATTATTCTGTCTCTGAAAAATAGACAATGTGGCTACTCGCCCATGTAGAAACAGGACTCAAAATATAAAATACTATATTATTATTACTGACAAAAGAGTCTAATATATAAGATTTTATTAAAGTAAACCAGAATCTGTTGCTGTATAATGAAACAAACTATAGACACTTCAGGAAATATAATCTAAATGTGGTAAGCATGGCACACGATTGCAAATATCCAGTGTAAAGTAATCTTATTGTGAGTCAATGTTTTGTAATTGGTCTTTTTATAATACACGTGTCATAACTAAACTTCAAACCCAATGCTGGTTTTTCTATTTTTAGATATTAATCCTCCATTCTATTATACTAATCTTCCTCGATAAGGATCTTCTTAAAAAACAAAGCAACATCTCTATAGAGGAAGAATATAATATGTAATGATCCAACCAACCAACTATCCAACACAATTGTGTTATACACTTGGGTATAAAATGGTAAACAAAGGTCATTTGAGGTCAATAATCTTCTGAATTTGTGTTGTTTATTCCACCAGAAGACTTGAGGCTTATAACTGCTAATCCCGTCCACTAAGATGGCCCAGAGGAAAGGATTTAGCATTATATAATCGTTCTTGACGCAAAAATAGTTATTATTCAAGAGAAGCTCCAAATATCCCCATCAAGGCTAATCCTCCTGTGGGAGTTGGACAAACACGAGTGTAAAGTCATTCAGATCATTTTTTCATGCAGTTTCTTTGTTCAAGTTCACAGTCCTTCTTGTGTCCTCCTCAGCAGACACACAGAGGCCCTGAATACACACTGTGCTGTCACATGTTGTCTAGCTGAAGCCTATCAGGTCTGACAAACATCAACAACTGGTTCTTGCTTGGAGTCTCACATGGCACCAAGGAAAATGCACATGGAAATGTTGGAAACGAAGCTCTTTGTAAAATCTGCTGATATTTGGTGAAGTTGTCCTCAATGCGTCAAGACAATACTTCCGTGTGATTGCAATGTTTTCTCTACGTAATTTTGAAACATAGTGGTCAACATTTACATGCAAATGGTTTCTTGCTATACTGTATGTATATACTATGTAGGCATACAGTATATGTTAAATTAAACACACATAGATAGTGTTTTTATTTTTACTGTATTTCTACCAAAGAAAAATAGTTCCTTTTCATTTCTTATCCTCTTGCAGAGCCTCGGTCCCTAAGTGTTTGCTCCATCACTGTGACAGGCTATTCTCAGATTTTTTCTCTCCAATTTCAGCACATAATGGTGTTATCAGTAAAGGCAGCAATTTTAATAAGTGTTATCTGATACATTGCTTATAGGTACGTTTATGGACTAAAGTGTAGAGTTTCCAACGCAACCTTGTATCATCCAATCAAGGGATCGATATACAGGACAGGGAGAACTCCTCACAATGATTATATCAGCGAACAAATTGTCTGCTGGCTCCAACAAAAAAAACAGTGATCCAAGCCATCAATCTAACATACACACACAAACACACACACACTCTCACAGCTCTTATATTATTATTCCCCAATTCCCCAAGCTCTGGTGGGAGAGGGTGTGAAATTCAAAAATAAGCAGACTGAACTTTGTTCAGCTGAGTGACATCAAAGACCACTGGGAAAGTTGAGAGGAAATGCAAGAAAAGTCTGGAAATCAGCCTATTCATGCTGCATGGTTTATAATGTGGGTGGTTTATAATGTGGGTGTTGTAGTTGGCGTGTGGCTGAATAGATGCTGAAGATCGTTTCACCTTTTTGTTGCTAATGTTTTGAAAATAAAGTTAGAAATAAAATAAATGTGATGACTATGTCAACCATGTAGTATCAAATCATGGAATTGTCCCTCACAGAAATAGGCCAACAAAGGTTTATGTGTCAGGGGCAGATGAAGAAACTCAAAAAATCCGTGTCTCTTTTTCCACAGCTTTTGCCCACAGATCCTCCGAAGAAGCCGGACCCCACCACCTCAGAGTCTGTTGTTTTCTGGGGGCTGCGGTTATGGCAGGTCATTGCCATCTTTTCCGTGTTTGTTTTAGCAATAAGTTAGTATACCTCTTGAAATATTTTTTTAAACCTCCACAAACTATTCTTCAAGTAGACTGAAAACTTGGGAAATAACTGCAGGCCAAAGATGTCGATGCATGCAATTATCTGCCTCCGTGTGATTATCAAGCACAATCTGATAAGTAATGATACAGATATTTTTCAGGAAAGGCAGGGGGTTTCCAGCAGTGAGTTTCAGAATCAGAATCAGAATCACAATCAGAATACCTTTATTAGTCCCACAGAGGGGAAATTTGCATCGTGAGTCACACTAGCAGCAACTAAGGAAAGAGAACATACTTGCACTGTTATGCAATGTGCAATTATGTAGGCATACGTTATATGTTAGACACTTTCCTATAAATTACATTATTCTAGTGAGATCAAGCCATGCAGGTAGCTTTGATTTGATTTGCCAGGTATTTGACATCTCTGAATTGAATAGATCGCAAAGGACTAACATTAGCATTTTTATCAGGTCTGCAGACGTGTAAAGCTTTGTGAATCTTTAGTTTATCACGTTCACATGCGCACAATGGTAATGTTGAATATCTTTTGCACAACACAACATTTGTTTTGCGGGTGTGAATGAGACAAATAAAATAATTGACCTGCTAATGGTGCTTACTCAAACTTTAATTATCAGCCATTGAAATGAACCAAAGATTGATACCAAATTGCAAGGCAATCTACCCAACAGTTGTTGAGATATTTCCCTATAAAACACAATTGTGAAAGTCATGATCATTTTCAGATGTATGTACAGTAAGTGACAAAAAAAACACCTAAACCTATCATCATAGATAGGATGTTGAAATTGTTAAGACTCTCCTAATGAACTCATTTTGTCCCCCCCCCCCTCTTTCTCTCTCTTTTTCAGTCATCACTCTGTGTTGTATATTCAAATGTCGAATTCCAAGAACCAAAAAGGAAATAGAAGCAAGAAATGTGCAAAGACAGGCCGCCAAGAAATACGCTAACACATTAGAGACAGTGCCACCTCTTAATGAGCTGACTGAGATCCCAGGATGTAAGTACCTTTCTATAATATATTTCCAATATAAATGGGTCATATTAACAAGCCACGATACACAAGCTATTTCCTGAAATGGTTCTAACTGTTTTTTTTATCGTGCCATGGTTTGAAGCTGCTTATTGAAACTTTAAATGCATGTGGCACCAAATAAAATAAGTAGAATAAGAAAATGAAGTAAGATAAATAAGACTGTATCATACATTGTTGCCCTGTAACAATAATAAACCACATTATACATAATGCCCCCTTAAGCCAGTATGATTGCTTTGCACAAAAGCACACTGGAAAACAGGATTAACAATTATTTGTTTGTTAAGCTCTGGATCTTGGTTTCTATTTATGGGAAGGGACGTGTTTTTATGAACACTGTTTATCTTTTAACCCAAAGGTCTTGCAAGTGCTTTGACAAAAAATCCATAAAAAAATGTCACCTGTGGAAGCCGTAATACTGTAAAAAGCACGACCAATCATTTTTTGCCGGTCCGGCTAAAATAACTGGATGGCCTACCTGCCTGTCAGCCTTCCATCTGTGCACAAACTTATCTCGTGCCCTCATTGGTCATGTGCGCATTCGTGTGTGTTGGAGGAGGGGCTCTGTAAGGAAGTGGCAGATTTTTTCCGGTTGTGTATTTTCAAATTCTAGCGCACTCGAGTTGTTTTCTCTAAAATTACCTACCCCACCTTTAAGGCTTCCTGGATAGCTTTTCTATCTATAAAAAACATCTGTTAACATCTTCCCTAGGACAGCTTTAATTTCTTTTCACTTTTTCACTGTGTGTTCTTCTCACCTCACAACTTGCTGCACTTGTTTCAATTCTTTGTGCTGTGTTACATTAAAATTCCTCTCCTCTTCTCTCTTCTCTCTTCTTCTTTTCTCTTTTCTTCTCTTCTCTTCTTCCAGCTGCCCCAGATGCATCTGCAGTTCAGACAGTCTCTGAGCAGGTCCAAACTCCAAGTGCCACCAGCAGCCAGCTCTCAGTAGTTAGGGTCAGCGAGGAGCAACCCGGCTCTCTCACCTTGCCAGAGACAGGATGAATGTTTCCCTCTTCTTCTTTTTCCCTTATCTTCCTGCAGACTTTTCTCTTGGCTAAGTGACTTTAAAGTAAATGGTGCATACACTGGAAAGTAGCCACTCTAAAAGTCCTCTTCATGCAACACACATCCATCTGGTCTTCCTAAATGCTATTTTCCGTATCTTGCAAGAGAAATTCAGGCAAACAAGTAACTCATTCAACCACATCACTTTAGAAATCTATAGCCAGAAAATAGAGTTTGAACTTTGCAAATGTTGCTTTGTGGTGGAGTAGTGCAGCAGTAACTCCCTATGTGCAAAATAACTTTAACTTTGACTAACAGAGATTGTCATGCTTTTGCAAATGAGGTTAATTAAAAGCAGCCAGACATTTGCAGTTTATACTTTTGTATTTTTTTTGTTTTTCTATTTTAAAAGATGTGTTTCCTATAGATTACACGCTGCTTCATTCATATTTGAGTGGAAATGTTCAGAGCATATAACTTTGAGTATGGAAAATTGCTATTACTGTAAGCTGTGAAAATGGTAATGCATGCAGCATGATGTCTGGGCTCTGTGTTTGTATTTCTGTCTTCCAACCTGCCTGGTTGCTCTCCTTTGGTTTAGCTTTGAATAAAGCAAATCATTCACACTACATCCAGCTGTGTTAATTAAATATGATCATTGGTGTCAGCGACATCGGCCTCATCTGTATTTTAATGTTCTGGTCTTTACTTCTCCTTTCTCTTTTTCTCTCTCTCCCTATTTCTCAGGAATGTTATGTGTTGCCTTGTTTATATATCTCAGACATCTTAGCTGCTTAGCTGTGTTTTTCTCAGGTTAAGACATGTGACGAATATAGGACTGACATCTGTCTGTTCCTCGGGTTGATATGTTACGCATTCATGTGCAACAATACATTCAATGGTTCTTGAGTCGTTAATGGTGGAAGGGAAAGCATTGAGCTGTCAATAAGTTTTTCTTGCATGATAACTGTGTCAAACAAGATCTGCCTTAGAGGGTGGGGGGTGCACATGCTAAACCTACTGTGGTGAGAGCGTTCATATATCTGCAATCCCTAGTGTAGTCTGGGGAGATGATATAATACGCATTGGATTAAATCCTTTTTTGTAACTCTATAACTAATTAAACTAATCAACCGTGTGCCTCTGGGAGAGGGGAGGCCTTTATTATTAATAAAGAATAAGGATGAACATATTTGCTATCTGTTCTCGACCACGAACTCCAAACTAACCGCATTGTAATGCTGCCTCTGCATTAACTAAGGATGAGGGAAATATAAATCGAATGCAAAGATGCAAACTGCCGAATCCCCAAGTGATTATGTCATGCTTAAAGTACACAGGAAAAAAATATGCAATAATATCTGACAAACCAGTTGAGCACATAAAAAGAAAAAAAGAAATATAAAATGAAATTCATAATCAGAAGTCTTTTTCTTTTTTTCTTCTTTTTAAAAGAGGGCTTGATTATGCAAAGCAGAGCACACTTAGGAAATCCAGAGCAATCAGAACGAAAAAAACAAAATAAAGCAGATAATTCAATGTGACAAATTAGGTTTTAAAAAAATGCCCACTCTTATCTATGGGATGTGTGCATGAATACATTTTTCCACACAAAACAGTAGTTAGTAGTATTACCAATGCTGTTTCAATCACATTAGTATGCATAAAAAAGTGACAGGTCACACCTTCTAAGTCCCGCCCCCTAATTATGCTAATGAGTCCCATTTGATATGCTAATGAGCCCCTTTGTTCGAGGTGTTATCGCGTACAGGTGTTACATCCTCCCAGGTAGCCCCCACCCCTCTCAGCCCACCCCCCTCCCCCTCACATACAGGTGTCACATCCGCCCTGTCGCCCCCACCCCTCTCAGCCCCCACCCCTCTCAGCCCCCACCTCTCTCAGCCCCCACCCCTCTCAGCCCCCACCCCTCTCAGCCCCCACCCCTCTCAACCCACCCCCCTCCTCCTCCCCCCTCCTGTCCGGTCAGCAGGTCCGTTACAGTTTAAATCTTACGGACAAAATTAGAAAAGTGCCGGTCAAAGGTCTTCTATGTTATTTATTGAGCTTTTGAAACAAATTGATATGATTCGATATTAAACCAACTAATTATAGTAGACAATTAACTATTCAAACGTGTACATTAATTTACAATAACACGGGAATAATAAACGGAGCGCTCTCCCCCTCTCCTGACATACGCCAGTATCATGCAGCTCGCGGATCCGATAATGAGTGACCCGACAGTAAAACTAAACATATCTATAAATAGTTTAGGTAGTTTGAGAGGTAATTAAAATAGCTACGTGTGATATCTGAAGAGTGTGTTTTGTTCCGCTCACCGCATGCAGAGATGCATGTCGGCTCGTCAGCAGCACCGGGTCTCTCCTGTCAGATTAGACTTTACTAGCGTTTATACCCATATCGATCAGATCTAGCTAGTTCTAGCTAATGATATGACTACCTGCTTATTAAAAGACACCTAAACAATAAGCGTCACTATGCAACGGGGTGAGGCCACAAAGTATAGTACAGCATTATGCATTTTGTTTACATGCCCACCGGACCCCCGAGGCATTACCAACAGATCAACGCGCAATCAACCCATACAGGACATCTCTTGCTACACATTATGTGTAGACATTATAATTGACTATTCTTGTCTGTCACATACTCTTTTGTCTGTCACACACTATTCTTGTATGTCACATAAGTGGTGCAACTGATGCGGTATTGCGCTAAAGGGGATATCATTCTGACCGGAGAGATTTAGATTTGCCGGTCTTCAGCATATTTTACCGGCCACAGTCCGGTAATTACCGGCTAACGGGAACTCGGGGGTGGAGACAATGAGGCTTGATTTGGATCTGATCTGGAAAAACTCTGGTAAGTGCTTTTATCATTATAATATCATGTCATTATTTAATGTTGTTTTGTGTGTGTGTGTGTGTGTACAACGAAGTCTCTTTGGGAGGAAAATTATAATTTAAAGATCTTAATATCCCCTTATTGTTTAATTACTTCACACAACTATTAAAGAATCCCTATATGAAGTTACATGAGGCTACATTTACTGGGGTGCTTCCCTAGATGATGTAAATATCATGTGTGAAATCGGGGGTGACCCCCGTCCCAGATAGAATCATCTCTCTGTCACGTCCCCCCTTCAGCAGTTCTGGGGCGACCCCCAACACCGCTGCAGTCTGAGAGCCAGGCATATGCTGTGATGTCAGAAGATCGAGGTGGGGGGTGGAGTGAGCTAGGTAAAAAAAAGAAATCCAGTGCAAACTAGATAAAAAACCACTCACCAAGTCACCTAAACTTTCAAAAACGAAAATGGCAAAGAGACGCATCGATATGGGTTTAATCAGCGAGACGCCTGTGACAACTTACCGCCATCCGTCGGGAGCGCCAGTCAAGAAACGGGTGCAGTATCTGTGCCGGGTTCAGACCCTCCGTATGAGGCTCTTCATGAAAAATGGAGTCTGGATGTGTGAGACTGTCTCCCCTCACAGCGCTAAATATACAGACATTCAGCGCAATAAGTCCCACCCCAATTAGCAAATCATCCAAAACTAAGGATCCCCACTAAGACGAACAGATTTTTCTTTAAGACTGTGACTCTTAAAGGCACTTTGGGATTTTAGTAAAACAATCCAGTTTTCTGGAAATAACTTAAATGATTTTCGTTTTTTCTCCTACAAAGATACTTATAGTTACACTTTAATGGATGCAAAACTTTATAACTTGGTAAAATATTCATTCATTTGTAATGAATTGAGTTTTCTTCAAGAATCAAACTCTAAATGGAGAGTTTGTGATTTTAACACTGTTTCGATGAGACAATGCAGGTTTTGATAACTTGACATGACTAACATTACTTTTTTAAATATATGTTTTTAGATGCTTTACTTTTGATTTCTTTCATGTTATTTTAACACAACATTACTTTTTCATAT